GTTATTTCTGGATCCAATAGATGGAACATCTTGTCGAGTAAGACTCCCTCCACGTTCTGCGTGGAGTAGGGTTCGGTATCTGAAAGAGGAGCCGCACAACAAATGAGAGAAAAAGACAGGAGATAATTTTGCAATATTGGGGGACCAGGCGGCAAGTCCCGAAGGACTTCCTCCATGCTCAGGCCTCACCAAGCTTTTATTGACCTGGGATGCACCCATAGCATAGCCCTTAGGCAGGTGACCCCCTGCAACAGGCAGACTAGCCCATCAGCAAGGATTTACATAATAATAAATGGGGGAGTAGTTTCAGCTACCACTGTCTGGACAAACAGAGGTGGTGCCTAGCTCCGACCTTTGCTAGGGCTTCAAAGGCACCCAGCCTTGGCGGGGGCGGGTCCCTGTCTATGCTTATCAGATAGTGAAGGCAATAAACAGTTTCCCACAACATCTATCTCTTTGGTTTCATTGGTCTATTTGTTGATGCTTGCCCCAATAACACCCTATCTTAAGTGCTACAGATTTATGATAAACTTTGACATCCAAGACTATAAGTCTTTCAACTTTGTTCTTGTTCTTCTTTGAGATGATCTTTGCTATTCGTGGGGCTTTTCATTTTTATACAAATTTTAGAATTAAATTGTTAATTTCTAAAAAAAATTATTCTTGAGATTTTTTTTTTTCTGGGGGCTGTATTAAATCTAAAAGGTAAGTTTGGGGAGAATTCAAATTGTATAACACTGGGTCTTTTATTCCATGAATATTTTATATTTCTTTATTTGTCTTTAATTTTCTTGAAATATTATTTGTTTTATATTCACTTTATACATATTTTGTTATATTTATTCCTAGGTGTTTCTCATTTCTATATAGTATAAATGGTTTTATTTTTTTAAATTATTATTTCTAATTGTTTATTGCTGCTTTATAGAAATGCAAATAATTTTCTAAAGTGACCTTACTAAATTCACCTCCTTATTTTAGTGTTTTATCTATAGATTCTTTTGGGTTTTCCTCAAACACAATCATGCCTCTAAAAAAAAAATAGTTTAAGTTTTTCTTTTTCCATCACCATATACCGTTTTATTTTCTTTTTAATTCGAATTCATACTTTCTGGCACCTCCCCATGAGTCTGTAGTACTCTGCCTAGATAGAAAAAATCAGGAGGAATACCCACTATGAAATTTCCATGGAAATATTGGAGCATGTAAATCATTTCTTTGGACTCAGGGATTAATAACTTCCAAATCATTTTTGTTATATTATTTTGGGGAAATGTTGTTAGAATATATCTACTGCTGAAGCTGCATTTTTTAATGTGTTACATATTTTCTGGTAACTTGCATTGAGAATTGATTACTGTGGAAAATAAACTAGAAAACTGTTCTGGAGCCCAGAGCTGAATGGACAAATGTTGGGGGTTACAGTTCCCTAATTTGTTGTACTCTTTTCTGAAATCTGAAAAGTTAATGAATTTGACTTCTAAATATATTTCCAGCACTGATTTTTTTCATTCATGTTATCTAATTATTGTTTTCCTCAATCATTTGTTAAATAAAATTTCAGTCATATGTTGTCATCAGAGGGAATACGATTTCAAATGAGAATTTGAGTTTCTAAATGGAAGCGTTTATTAAATATGTAACCAAACATTGCCTTTGGGTAAAAATGCAGATATGTTACAGATATTTTAATAAAATCAAAACCATAGATTTGAAATATGGCATTGAAAGGTATTTGGTGCGTTGATAAAGTTCCCTGGAGGACTCTGGATGTTTGAAGCAACAGTTTGATTGAATAGAACAATAAATGCAGGGGTATTTTTTCTCTTTCTTTCTCATCTACTAGAAAAATATAGATAATAGAGCTCATTTATTTCCTTAACATTTCAGAGCTCTGCAGATGGGAAAACACAACCCAGTGGAAATTATTTCTGGCAACCTTGAGAAGATATGTTAGCATTTTGTGGCATTTCTTTCAGTGACATGTAAAGCATGGCTTTCCCTCATTGCAGTGTCACAGTGAAGTGTCACAATAAAGCCAAAATAGTGTGCCCTCGGGGAAAACGAGGGAAAGGGGCCATTTTCCATGCGCACACAAAGGGTAATATTTATTATAACGCCTTTTCATTTTAGCTCCGAACGCTGTCGGGGGCCATGGCTACTTTGCAATGGAGAAGCGCACAGAGTGTGAGATTTAAAGCAAATGTTATGTATAAATCTAATGTAATTTATGTAAATATAAATTAGACGTAAAAAGAGGAAAGTGCCTTTCTGGACATGCAAGCACGCATACATCCGCACAGTGTGTCGGAGAGAGATGCTGCAGAGTGGCAGCATCAGCCTGATGTTGATGGAGTCCAAAGAGCACTGATCTGGGAGTCAGACCAGCTCTATCTTGACCTATTTTTGTTCTTACCAGCCCAGATGTTACGTTCTACCAGCCACATGTGATATGAAAATGGTTACCCTTGTTCTATGGATAAGGAATTTGGTTTTCCAAAAGACTCAATTCTATGTTACAGATTACACAGCTAATATGACTTAAGGAACGTCATTTGATACACCCAGTGTATCCGATACAATAACTTTATTTTCAGTTAAATGTGTACTTTTGATAAAACCGTGTATTTCTTCTTCATCCTTGACACAGTTATTATTTGGATCCAAATACTGATCTTGAGTTTTATTGCCATTAAATGTCACCTCATTAGATTCACTCTACTGCTCCATCTCTGGACAGTTTGGGGGTCTTGATTACATTCCGCAGCATGCTTTTCATTGCTGCAAGTCAGTAGCACCCCCAGAGCTAATGGACATCATAAATACCTGCACCCGAAGCATGGGGCAACGCCCGGTGACAAGCAGCTTCCTTCCAGTTAGAGAGGTGGCTGGTTTATCCAGGCACCACTTCACCCAACTGCCACATGCAAATGGAAATCACCCGAGTTCATTGTTTGGATTTGGCAACATGCAGGAGGGAGCCTGAACCTTGGTGCCCACAGCCTGGGATTCAGCACCACCAATGACCGGATCTGTGATTTGGGGAATGTAATTTGTCTTTATAAGTACATGTAGGTAACAGTGTTAACCAGACAGAGTTTGTAAGGGTGTTGCAGGTAGTAGATGTATAGTCCCATTCATCACCCCAACCATCAAAGAAAAACAGGACATTTTTCTGGCTGACCAGTTCTTTTTAACCACCCCAACCACCCACGTCTTCTTGATCAGTGTTTCCAGGACTGACACATCTTCATCTTCATAAACTTTCTCAGCCTCTTTCCATTGTTATGCTTAAGTTGGTTTTAAGAATCCACTCTTTTTTCCTGCTTTAATATATGAGTGACATTTTTTAGAACTCTTTTATTTTCTATAAACCTTAGTTTGAGATAATCCTTTAGTGGTCTTGTATTTCTTCTGAGCATCTTTGATGGAAATTCACTTGATGTAGGAGACTTTTGTTTAGGGAACTTCTTGAACTTTTTTTTTATATAACTAGGAAATTTATTCCCTTTGATATGTTTTTTTTGTCCCTCCGTCTCCAAAGGTCAATCTCCTTGAAAAGAAGGCCAGGGGAAGGGTAGTTCTGTGTCTCTGGGCTTGGTCTCATGCTATCATAACCATATTTGTAGGCTGTTTTCCTTGACGAATTGGTAGGTTCAGGCCATGTAAGTTTCTGTTTGCTGCGGTCTTCTTATAAAGGCACATGTTTGCTCTCTGGTTATATTCTCGTTTGCTCCATCTTCTGTGCATGCTCAGTTTAAATTTGAGCTCCGAAGAGAAATTTTACACAAGCACATTAGCTTATTTAGGCACTACACCCTTCTCTTCCTCAGAATAATTTTATATTCTTCTATTTTAATCTATTTTTTAGAGATTTCTAATCCTCTAAAATGATTTCCTTCCAGAATCTTTTTTCCCTCTACAAGAAATAGTATTTTTTTCTTCTGACATTTTTTAATCTCCTTTTTGAAATCCAAGGATGCATGTGTAACAATAATCAAGTAATTCTCATGAATGGGCCACCATCTTTGCATTAATGTTTCTAAAGAGAACAACTTAAGGCCTTTGTCTATTTAGTAATATTACTGAGCATTTCATCAGTTTTTTAGTGATGGAGCAAGGAATAACATACTACTTTGAGACTCACTGTTGCCTAAACCCTCTGGTCTTCCTGTATCTTGCCAAGAGAATGCTTGTCTTAACTCCAATACGTAGAGTGATCTACATTAAATCTGAGTGAGCGTATGCAGGAGATCTATTTGAAAGGGCCATCCTCAGGAGCATTCTCAAATAAAACGATATGAAAACAGGAGTAAGAATAAATTGTTGCCCATTCTTGTGAAATCCAGTCTTATTTCTCCTCCTTTTCTGTGTTTGTTCTGTGTGCTAAAAGGGTGAGAATAAAAAAATAGAGTGCCACATAGCATCTTTTTACTTTTTTGGGGTGGGGGGGCTTCTGGAGATGGGCTGATTAAATGTTCATCATGTCCCCTCCTTTCATTCTCCTTTCTTCAAGTCAGAGCTCAGGATGTGGCATCTCAAGTTTGATGTGCAACTGTGGCAGAGATAAGCATTTTGGGTAGCAAACAACTATCGAAAAACCTTGCAATTTATCCATCTTGGGCATGTGTGTTTTTTTTTGTATCCGGTGGTAATTTTTTACATTAGCTGTTTCTTAGGATTAGCAAGCCAGTTCAAATCTTATTTCATCCTTCCCTGGGTATTTAGTGTAGCGCCAAGCGAAGCACAGATTCACATATGCTTCCTCAGGATTAAGGATGATCTTTGGATAGGCAGTAACATAGAATCCACAATAGATTCAGTGAATGGGCTGTTTTCTTTCATGCCAACAACAAACCCTAAACTTTAGGGTTTGCCAAAAACAAGCCCTAGGCTTTTAGTCCCAAGTTCCCACAGACTTGGAGTCATACTCATGAACGTCAAATAACAGTCATCTATTTTACCATGTTCTTCATTTGCCTCAATCCCTACAGTGCGGCATATGATTGCTCCATGGCAAAGAAGAGGAGAGCTGAAGAGCAGGCCTCATGGGTCCCTGTCAACAAGAGAAAGTCCCTGCTGATGAAGCCCAGACACTACAGCCCAAGCATGAACGGCCAGGAGGGGCTCGATACCAGGACGGAGGTGGAGGAGGACAACGGCCTGCTGGGGACCAATGCTCACCGGACCACAGGTAGCAAGGAGGGGCCCAAACTCTCCATTTGCCCTCAGGCACCGAAGACTCAGTCTTAGCTTCTGCAGAACACATAGAGCTTGTGTGTTTGAATTTGGAAGCAAGATTAAATATTTTTTTTCACGTCGAATCCATTTAGTGAGGGCTGATTTTTGTCTGTAACTGTGGGATGTCTCAAGCTTGCCCTGCGTTCATTTTCAAAATGCAGGATTGGACTGTGCCTCTTTTTGAAGAATATAAAGGACACTAAGCCTGAAAGCTGACGAATACCTTGACTCCCAAATAGGGTAGATGCTTAATGCCTGAAAGAACCTTTCAAAATAAAGGGCCGATTTAATCTTGAGAATATTTAAGATATGATATACATGAATAAAACAAAATATTTTTGTTTTGTAAATATATATAGTATTAGTTAGCCCTCAAAATATAATTGGTGATAACAACATGGACCAATGCAGGTGGGATGCAACCTTAATATTTTCAACATTTAAAAAATAAATATTTATAGCAATGGACTGCAGAAGGACGTAAAGTTGGCTGCCTAGCATCTCCATCTAGAAAACTGATAAAGAAAATTTATACTATGCCCACTATTTCCAAAATACAATCATTTTAATTTACCTATAAGCACACATTATGCTTCATGGATTTAATTCTTCACTCATTAAATGCTGTTTGCATTACAAGTTATATGTAGTTACAATCTCAGAATTTTAGGTTGTTTCTCCCCAGTTCACAGTTACTCCCATTGGTCCCTGGTAGTCACCGTGCCTCCAGGAGTCAGAATATCACCAACCACATTGTGCATGAGGCTGAAATGAAAGGAAATGCAAAATATCTCAAGAAATTATATTAAAAAAAGAAATCTAAAGCTTGACTTATTGGAAAATGAAATTAGTTGTTCTAAATTAAATACACATGTTTTTTTAAAATGTGATTTTATAGGAATCAAAATATATCAAATGATTTGTAATTTGAAAAAAAAAGTATATATTATACAAACCAAAGGCAACAAGAGTATTCGATCATAAATATCTATTATATATAGAAATATAGTAACAGCAATAGGGGTCAACAGACAAGATGTAAAAGCATATGAAAGACGAGTGAGCACGAATCTCAGATCACCACCCACAGCTCTCCAGTAATCTTGGCTTACAAGTAGCTTGAGGTTCTGTAGTTTAAAAAAAAGTTATATTCTGATTTGATGATGTTTAAGTAAATTTTCTGACTTTCCTGTGTTTAACATATGGCTTAAAGCCTCATGGCTCATTGGTAAATTATAATCATCTTTGACTTTTTTTGTTTCCTTCAGTTGGTTAGATTTTTGTTGATTCATAAAAACTGTAGCTAGAATCTAGAAAGTCCTTGAATCAGTGTGGTTGGACTTGGACTGTATCTGCCCACTGATCATGATGTGTAACCATTGTAAGATGCTTAGTATTAACCAAGAAAATATATTGTCAAAATGTACTCAGTTAAAATTTCAGTTGTATGTGTTGATGGACATCTATTTGCAGGTTCATAAATGTTACCTATTTTTTATATTTAGTACTGGAATCACTACTAATAACAATGAATATGCCGAAATTCCAGAAGTAGTGGCCATTATTGTTGAATTTTTAATATATTCTTGGCAAATAAGTTATATCACTTAATCTACCTGACAATGACATGTGTATGATTATGGACAGAATTTTACAGACATGATGATTAAGGACCACGGAGATTTAATGCTTAAGGTAATGCAGCTTGTAAATGTTGAGAAGGACATAATTAGGAAACAATTGAAGAATAAGCAAAATAACCAGGTAGCCATGCTTCAGCAGCTAATTCTCCCCAAGCTCTGACCACCTTCAGAAAGCAGACTGCGCAAAGTTTCTGCAACATTAGGTCAACATTTCCAGAAATGACAGGTCACAGATGCTCCTATCTCTGGTCAAAAGAGCAAAACTCTTTTAAGTTTTCTTTAGTCCTTTGAGCAAGTGATCCCCCACCCTCAGAAGGAAAGAGAGCCAGGTTGGTCCCCAGGCCCAGTATAAGGGCTTCTCATCTCTCTCTCATTTACTGCTGGTACTCCAAGGTTTTTAGCTGGCCAGGGGTGCGCCTGGTGGCATCTTCAGTGGACAGTTCAGGTGCTGAAGGGAGAGGGTCTAGTGCTCCTGAAAGTTCACATCATGAGCTTGTATCCATTTAATGGCAAAACTGCACCCTGGACCCTCCGTGGGGTAAGCAAGCTCCACCTCACTTATGTGGGGGACCCCATAGCCTCTGCCTTGCCTATCATCTAACACAGTATCTAGGGAAGGGGGAAGAGGGCCACTTTCCTGAATACCTGCGGGTGTCACGGGCTCTCCCGCGCTCCCCCGGGATGTCTGCAGGTGCCTCCCCGTGTGAGGGAGGACGCCCGGATCAGAGCGGTTAGGGACCTGTCAGCGTTGGAACAGAGATGCGTGCCAGGCCCGGAATCAAGCCTAGGCCCCTCTGATATGAAAGGCAGGAATATTCTAGTGATTTCAGTGGCAAAAGCACAAACTAAGTCACGGGGCCACCCTGGGACATAGAAACCCACTCGCATACAGAAGTAGGCGGCCCGTCACAGAGCTGGGAGAAACAAGTGTCTCGTCGCAGACCTGTCGGGTTCAAAGGCTCACTCAACTTTTTTCCCCTTGTGATTACAGTGAAAGCCAGGGAGAGAGCGATTCACGGAAGGAAAGTCGGATGGCAGCTTCTCAGGCCATCCCTGGAAACCTTCGTGTGCAGTGCGCACAGGCATGGCTGTCGGCAGGACTCCTCTCTTTCTGAGGAATAATTAATAAATATTTTCTTTTAGCATATAACAAACAGTTGAACCAAGCAATTATGTAAACTGGAAATGACCCAAAATGCTAGCAGTTGGCAGCGGCACAGTGAAATGCATTGTCGTGCACATGTGCATTTTTTGTCACTCCCGCCTCTCTGGTGATCTGCACTTAATAGGAATATTTTAAACTATGTAGCTAAGCAACAGAGGTAATTGTTGCTTTCTAGAGCTTTTGTTAGCACTCTACCACAGCCCAAATATGCATAATTAGGTATAATGTCTATAAATCATTATTGTACACATGTGGGTAGTTAAGTGGAGTGAGAGAATAGTTCAATGAATTGAGCATATTCACTGAAAATGCTTTTTATTTGTTTTCTGTAGTTCATAATACTTTAAAATTATCATAACCCTTTACACTTTCTCTTAATCACCAACCGTGATATTGAGAAAAACTTCATTTGCATTTTAGACTATGTTTAATATATTATTTAAACCTGGAGTTCCTCTGATATGAATTCAGGAGAGGATAGACCATCCTATCAAACATTATGTGCTTGTTTATCCAGTCTCTTTTCTAGGAAGTAAAATGTTAAATTTTTCAGTTTATGTTGAATAGATCCCAACAAAAGACTGCACCCTATAATCAGCATTATTTAAAGGGGCTAGTGTTGTGACTAAATTCTTCCCTTCATCCAAAAATGCTTTTAGTTACTATGGCAATATTTACTTGATCCTGGCAGTCCAGTGTTGATTTAGGGAGATAATTACCAGAAAGGAAGATGATGGAGATGTATTTTTGAGTGTCCTTGTCAGAGACAATGTTTATAAAAAAAAATTAAATGAGACAAAAAAAGGCTCATTGTCTTCTGCTCAGACACCCTCGCCCACAGCCCTCACATTGGATGGCTGTGCTTTTCTTCCCTCCAAAGATGCTTATTAACACAGAATGCACTTCACTTGGTGTCTTTAGCAGTCCTTAAGGCAGCTGATTATTTTGTGTAGCCCGTCCCCCACTCCCCTCCTGCTCTTCCTCCTCCTCTTCCTCCTCCTCCTCCTCCCACTCCTCCTCCTCCTCTTTTTTTGGTCATAGTATTCACTAAAGGAAGCATTGCTGGGTTGCCTGGTGTATTTCACAGCCTGGTATGTGCTGGGTGCTGTGCTTGCTGGAGGACACCTTGACCTGGGCAAGGGTTAGGTCATCACATACTCTGGACCCTTCACTGGTGTGTTTGCACTGGGACACACACACACACACACACACACACACACACACACACACACACACACAATCTTACCACCCCCACTGGGCCATTGCTGAGAAGGAAAGGGGGTGATGCTGACAAGGGCCCTGGGACAAGAGGGATGGGTGGACTGTCCCAGGCAGACCAGCACTGGGGCCTGTTCTCAGTCATGGGCTCCTTGACTGTCAGGACTCCAGCTGGTCCTGCACCGAGAACAACAGTTAACATTCAGCATCCTCCAAACATCCCCACCTCCCGTCTCATTTCCTTTTCACACAAATGCACGAAGCACCAGACCAGAAAATGTGTTACTGTGTAAGACGTGATTTGATCATGCTGATTTCCCCATTTGCTTGTGTTTCCTTCCACATGGAACTTTTGGGTGACAATTATGAAGGTGGTCAGGAAATCTAGAAAGCTTTCAGAACTTGTTTAGTTATCATCGTGTAGACGAATTTCGTATTTTAACGAAATCCCATAAAATCTGAAAGTATGTTTGAAAAAAACTATGAAGACAGAAAACTGAAACCAAATAAGCTTTGAAAATATACTGCCATTCTAACAGAGAAATCTGATGACTATTTCCTTTATAGTGCCTGGCATTATATCTATTTGATTTCTAGGTGGCTAAGATTTGCAAATGTAAGAGGTAAAGTAACAATAATTTCGCATTCAGCATTCTGTTACTATTATGTATGGATTTCAGTACCCTAGAAGTACTTAGTTCTTAATATACTAAAAATTCTAATAGCTCATTTCTTTAAAGGTAATTCTCAGAATATGAAGGTCTAAGTTGTGTTTTAAGAAGATATATATTTTCTCCCTAATGCTTTTAAAATGAATAGAGCCTACATATTCACATATTTTACATATTATATTTACATATGTGTGTATATATTATGTGTGTTTTCTTAAAGTATTTTTGAAAATATTTCTTAAATAATTTTTAATTATTAAATACATTTAAATAATTTTCTTAGAAAAATTTCCATGAGCCACTTTTGTTCTTGTCTTTCAAATACTGGCGTGTGTTTTTCCCCATAGAAGAAATCATGACAAAACCTCTGGGTGAGACTGTTCATTCAACGGCACAAGAAAACTCTCACGGGAAGGAAGACAGATACGGTTGCTACCAAGAGCTCGTGGTCAAATCTTTAATGCACGTGGGGAAATTTGAAAACAGTGCATCTGTCCAGACCACAAATGAAAACTTCAATGACAGTGGCATCCAGTCTCTCAAAGCAGAGAGCGACGAGGTGGACGAGTGCTTTGTGGTTCATTCCGATGACGGAAAAGACCACACCAGCGACTCCCAGCGGAGATTCTGCTCCTCCGATGACAATGAAAGCAACTCGGAAAGTACAGAGAACGGCTGGGACAGTGGCTCCAGCTTCTCCGAAGAAACCAAACCACGTAGAGTTCCAAAGTACATTTTAGTGGATGATAGGAAAGACGTAGTGGAAGTTCCCGAAATAAAGACCGAAGGTGACAAGTTTATCTCTTGTGAAAACAGGTGTGATTCTGACCCAGAAAGGAGAGACCCGCACAATGCTCGCACGGATGCCCTGGGTGGCAGGGCGCAGGCCCCCTTCCCCGGGGCTGAGGAGGATGACAGCCAGTGCCTGGCCGTGATGACAGAGGAGTCCGTGGACCTGGAGAAGGCGAAGGGGAACTTAAGTTTGCTGGAGCAGGCCATCGCCCTGCAGGCCGAGAGAGGCTGTGCTTTCCATGACACCTACAAAGAGCTGGACAGGTTTCTGCTGGAGCACCTAGCAGGGGAAAGGAGACAAGCCAAAGTTACTGACGTGGGCGGAAGACAACTCTTTAACAATAAACGTAAGACATGCTTTTGCATTTACTTTAGAAAGAAAATTGCGTTAGGGTTGGGAAAAAAATTAGTTACGACTTGCTTACTTCTTCCAGATAGCTGTTTTGACAACTTCACACCATTTGAAAACTAGTTTATATTTTATATTATAAAATAAGCGATTTCTCTAAATTGTTCTCAAATCCAGCTTGGTCAGTTGTGTAGTGTTTTGACACACGATAAAAGGATCATTGCCTCTATTTCTTCTAATTTGATTGCTTTAAAAAAGAATATAGTACTTTTTAAAAAGTACTTTATTGTACGTTAGAAGTATATTAGTACTTATTGGATTTTAAATCATCATATTAATCAAGTCAATTCCAGAAATTTATTATTTCTTTCCCACCCTCTTTCTGGGGTCATCTGACTGTCTTTAAGCTTCAAAATAGCCCGGCCAGTGTGGCTCAGTGGTTGAGCATCAACCTATGAACCATGAGGTCACAGTTTGATTTCTGGCCAGGGCATATGCCCAGGTTGTGGGCTCCATCCCCAGTGGGGGACATGCAGGAAGCAGCTGATTAATGATTCTCTCTCATCATTGATGTTTCTATCTCTCTCTCCCTCTGAAATTAATAATAATAATAATAGTAATAATAATAATAATAATAAAATAATGTCAAACTACTTGCAAGCCAAGCAGGATGATCTATCTGATCCTTCTTAGGATAAAACTGGCTGTTAATGCTTTTATAAGCCTCTGCTTTTTACAAGCTCTCTGACTCGGGGTCCACAAAAATCTGGGCCAAGCTTGAATGCGAGAGTAAATAAGCTTAAAATTGTTCCTCCGACTTTAGGGAAATTGTGTTTTCTCTCCCATAAAGACAATCCCCACCCCCACTCCACCCCTAGGCTTGCACAAGGTGGGCCTGATGATGATTTTTTACAGTTAAGTGGAGTTTCCCAAATGGTGGTATGGAAGTGCCTAGAAAGCTTGTTTAAGATGGGTATTTCCAGGATCTCATGAGACTCACTGCTCCAGAACTCGACATTTTTTAAGCAGGTTTGTCAATTGATTCTTGGACGCCCTGAAGGCTGGTAACCACAGAATCAGGGAAAATCAAGGTGGTGGCCCCAAGCTTGTGCTTATTAGAAGAGGTAGATGTTTGGCTGCTATTTATGCATGAATGAATGGCATGTTTTGTCATTTTAAGTCCGTTTTAGTACTCACCTGCAGTCTTATTAGGTATTGCCTTGCAGCTCAGAGCTGAGAAAGCAGAAAAGAATAAGATGACGTCACATAGTGAGGAACAAGATAATGCTATGCAAACATTCTGCCAGGGTTGGGATGGGGACAGAATATTAATGACGTGTGTGTGGTTTGGGACAGGACACTGTATTTAGCTCTGGGTACTCTACTAATATGCAACTGTTGGATTTATCTGTGTGTTTGGGTTTTTTGTTTGTTTGTTTGATTTTTTTTTAATAAACTGCAAGCCAAAAATGAAAAAGAAATTTACTTCCAATTCCCCCAACTCATAATATCTAATATATTACATTTCATTCATCCTAAGATACATAGTTTCCCAGTTTAATATCTCTGAAATCAAAGAATGTGCCATAATTAAATTTTAATAGTTGTTTCTTTCTTACTAGCATACAAACTATGTTTCATCTTACAATTGATGAAATCTTCCAGCCAATGAAATCCAGTATTTGGAGAAATTTTAATTATTTGTGCTACAGCTTAAAATACTTGATGATTCTTGGGTCAATTTTGTAGACCTTTTGAAACTATTTTTTGTTTTCAAAAATTAACAAGGTGTTGGAATCTGTGCTTGTAGACTTGGGTGATGTTGGAGATTTACTGAATGACTAATGTTGCTGCATGGGTCAACAGTATATCTTATTGCAGAGAGCAGCGGTTCTCAACCTGTGGGTCGCGACTCTTTCACAGAGGTCACCTATATACATCCTGCATATCAGATATTTACATTACGGTTCATAACAGTAGCAAAATTACAGTTATGAAGTAGCAACGAAAATAATTTTATGGCTGGGGGTCACCACAACATGAGGAACTGTATTAAAGGGTCGAGGCATGAGGAAGGTTGAGAACCACTGGCGTAGAGCATTGTCCTGCCTTGAGGTGTAAATAGCCGATGCCAGGAAGATCCAGACCAGATTAGTATATAACAGACAGGGAAAAAGAAGTGGAACTCAGAGAAATTGTAGGTCTGGTCCAGAGAATGCCCACAGAGTCCGAATTAAGTATTCACTTTCCTGTTCCTCTTTTTAGATTTGGGAGCCAGCAGCGTTAGACATGCTTTATTTCTCTGGCATAAATTCCATGCTTCTAAGTCAACACTTTTCCCAAATGATAGCCACACTCTTCAAAATATCATCCTCATTTTTTATAGACTGTGGGCATGTGACAGCTGTTAAGGAGAGAACAGTAGAATTTTAAAATGTCATTTTACCCAAGACTTCAGATGAGTCAGCAATTCTAAAGTAAAGTTTGACTATCCTGTTGCCACCAAGCATCTAGTGAGACTTTAAGTCGAAATATAAGTAGAGTCATCGTAGAATGTATAGTTCAGCCTCTTGGAGTGAAGGGGGGTGATATGAACAACCACACAGGTATATCAGGCGGGAATTAGGACAGTCCCAGACAAACCAGGATGTAGACTCATCAGGGGAGACGGTCATTATGCAGCATTTCACACAGAAAATGGAGGAGCCAGGCCTGAGATCACAGGAGCTCTGGCTTCTCAGCCTGCACAGGGGCTCTGCCCTATAGAGCATTTCATTAGCATCTCGTTTCACCCACAGAAAAGAGCTTGCAGACAAAGGTGCATGATGGACGTCAGGGGACCACACCTGGTCGGGAGCCAGCCGGCCTTATCTCCCACACCCTCTCTGGCTTCCTGTGCGCCGATAGTGTGGCAAAGAGGAGGCACACTCGACGCCAAACCGTTCAGTGTGGTTTAGAAATGTGGCCTCACCTGGGCGAGGTCCAAGAGAGGAGAGGCACCGAATTACACATTGTTTCTCCTTTTTTTCTAATTCCCTCCCCTGTGCTGTCACCCCTCCGAGTTCCGCTATCAGCAAACTTCAAGGAATTTGACCAGCGGTCTACCGGAGAGGACAACCTGAAAGTGGGCAACATTTTTGAATTCAATAAAATAGATCGCCATAAAAATCATAGAACAAGTCAAAGCTCTTAATAGGACCCTTTTGTCTCTTACAGAAAAGTGTGTGTTCTCCACATGACGGCATTTAAATCTTGTCTCTCTTTACACAAAGCGCCTGCTCCTCAAGGCACCCCTATCTCTCCTCTGTTCATTTCTCACTTAACTTAGAGCTTTCTTTCGGCTCCCCTACCCCCAGCCCCTGAGTGACAGCTTGAAGGACCCTTGGCTCCTCCCCCTCTGCTGAAACCATGCTCCCAAATAATTGCATTACATACAACCTGCTGTGCCCACCTGCCCAGGACCGCTTGTACTCCAACAACTGGGGCGGCATGCTATCTCAGAGGCACGTCTGCTCTCACAGTCCTCTGCCCTGGAGACGGCTGCCGCACCACGCGACATTGCCCTGCTCCCCGGGCCACGCTTGGAGTGGCAGCACATGTGCCCTCCACATCCACCAGGCAGGACTTCCCCGCCCCCCCCCCCCCCCCCCCCGGTCCCATCGCTGGCAGCTTATTTATTTTCATTATTATTTTTCATTCCATGCACTAGTGAGGGAGGCCATTTGGGCTATAAGAATGCATTTGTGTTTGAAGTTCATCTGCCATCTTGACCACAAATATGAAAATTCTATAGAAGGCCTCTCTGTTAGTTCTAACCTCCTTAGTAGTTCTGTTAGTTCTCATTCATTTTATATATTGAGCTAACCCTTTAGCTAACCCTCAGCCATGTGTGTGCTGGAAGACCAGAAGATTAACACCCAGGGCTTGTCTTCAGCCCTTCCCCTGACCAAGGTGTCCCCGGTCCCTGCCTGGCTGTGCCTGGGATCCGCACCCCCACCTCTGCTCTCGGCAGCACCCTCCAGGCCCTGCAGGGCGGCCTCCACTCTTCGTACTTCCATTCTCTCTAAGTCTCCCGCAAGAATGTTGCTTTGCCAAACCTCCTTCCTATTGCCTCTGTTTTTAGCTTTTGCGTTCAGAGTAAAGCCAGCAGCGCCTTTTCTGTAGTCACTGCATGCAGATCCCAAATGGCAAACCATTGGCGTTTTGGAACCTTGGGCCTCTGCAGCCCTGGGCACAGCACCAGGTGGCAGGCTGGCATCCTTGTCCTAACTCTCGCAGAAGCAGGTTCCACACGTGTCTAGGAGCAGCCGCTGGGCCCTGAAGCCGGGGCCACCTGCTCTGTGAGTGACAAGGCCAGAGATGTCTTTCTCAGATATGGTGGCTTCTTTGTTTTGTCATTTTGAACCGGCTTTTTCCAGACACCTTCAATAGGAGGTAGTTTTGGGTTTAAATGAAGTCTTTCTTCTTTCTCACTTTTTTTCTTTTTCTTTTCAGGAGCCTGTGTATCCTGTGGTGTGGACTTGCTTTTTAACAATGAGGCTCTAACTACAGTCGGTGGCATGACAACTTAAAGCCATCTTGTGTTTTAACACTCCCTTGCCCTGGGTCAGCCTCTGCTTAGGAAACCAAGGAAATGGAAAATCTTTTTTATGTGTCCACAGGTCTTAGTTGAGGGTCTCACTCAAGGCAACGTGAGAAGAATGTTTGTGATGATAAAACTGAATAAAGTGAGAATGTCACCCTGCAAGGCCGTTCTATTGAAAAGGAAGGGAAAGGAGAATAGCCAAACGAATCTTTCCATTTTATTTCTCTGCAGATTCACCGAGGCCTGAGAAGAGGGAGACCAAGTGCCCCATCCCCGGGTGCGATGGCACAGGCCATGTGACAGGGCTCTACCCCCACCACCGCAGCCTTTCGGGGTGCCCCCACAAAGTGCGGGTTCCCCTCGAAAGTGAGTACTGCTTAGCCCTAAAGGAAGGAGCTGCCTTGTTGTACATCCCACAGCATCACAGTGTGGTCCTCTTTTCTCCTCTAATTTGGAATTAGGAATGGAAATATAAAGTTGTTAAACATTTCATCAAGATAATTTTCGTCTGGCCTGGTGTTTAAAACACAGTGTAGAGATAGAAAACGTGGGAACAGTCAGGCCAATAGGTCATGCGATGACTGATATTGAGAAGGTAATTTGTTACTCACAGTTCCCAAGAGGAGGGGGCAGGCCTCACCAGGCAGGGCCACCCCGGGAAGTCCCAGGGCCAGTTGGGGGGCAGAGTGAGGGCGGGGGTGTGTTGTGGGCAACAACTTTTATTGTGGTTTCCTGGGAAGGAACAGAGTGAGCAGGTTTAGGATTGGCTAGATCAGTGGTCGGCAAACTGTGGCTCGGCAAACCGCGGCTCGCCAGCCACATGCGGCTCTTTGGCCCCTTCAGTGTGGCTCTTCCACAAAATACCGGCTCTTCCACAAAATACCGGCTTCTGCACATGGACCACGAAGTTTCAGTCGCACTGTACGTGTGCGCCAGCACGTGTTATTTTGTGGAAAAGCCACCCTCAAGGGGCCAAAGAGCCACATGTGGCTCGTGAGCGGCCGTTTGCCGACCACGGGGCTAGATTAACTCCTTTCAGGGGCTCTGGCCCTGGGAGGTTGGGGCAGGTGAGAGGATTCTGTAATGCCAGAACCTGATGAAAGAGGCCGTTGGGTGAGGGCTCAGAAGGGGTTGGTTTGCCACTGAAAAGTGTTTACTGTGTCTAGGAATTAGGTAGCCCTGGGAGGGACAGGCTCCCCACGGTCAGCAAGGCCCCAGATACCAAAGCATCAAAGTACAGAAAGTGAAAGGCATGGCTGATCCGCTGTGTGACTGCACAGCCCTTTCTTACTTAGAGGCAGGGCTCCTTATGCCCACAAGGAGCGTTAGCCTCAGTGCATCACTGAAATGTGGGAAGTGCACCACTTCGCCAATGCCCGCTGGACCGCCTCTGCGCTTAGGGTCACGGAATGCCTGGGATGTTGCCCCAGGACAGCCTACAGCAGCTGGGGGCCCTGGGCAAGAGCAAACCTGAGTTGGTCTCTCCACCCACATGCCCACTGTGAACTAGGAAACTAAAGGAAAAGGAAGGGACTGCCTCCTAGGTTTTCAAGTATCTCTGTTACATCCTCTACTTTTTGAACCTACTCATTGAAACACCTCTTGGGTCATAAAAACCACAATGATGGGAATGCCTCAACATCACCTTTCTCAAAAGGGTTTTTTTTTTTTTTTTTGCAAATCACTGAAACTAATTAGCTCATCACTGCCCCACTGGATTAGCAGTTCCTCACACTGATTGCCTCAACCATACCCTTCCACCAATAACTGAATGGCAGTGAGGGTGAGGAGTGGGGGGTGATGGACAAAGAATCAAAATAATGTCTCTTGGGAAATAAGACCATATTCAGAACTTCACACTGTGGGGAAAAGATAGAAAGAACAACTATCTATACTAATAAAAGCCTAGGTGCCTCTCATGTGTGACGTCATCACAAGATGGCCACTACAAGATAGCTGCCACAAGATGGCCACATGCACAGCGGGGGTGGGGCCTGGTGGCCGCTCCGCACACTGAGACCTGGGGGTCCCATGGCTCTGTGCAGCATGGAGGAGGCCGGTCCCAGCATCTCCGCCGCCTCGCGCGGAGAAGGCAGGTCTCAGCAGAGGAGGAGGGTCGCGGCAGGGGAAGGCAATTGTGGACAATCGGGCCAGGAGAGGAGGGCAGTTGGGGGCCATCGGACTGGCAGGGGAGGGCAGTTGGGGGCCTTTGGGGCAGCAGGGGAGCAGTTAGGCATCAATCAGGCCAGCAGGGGGTAGTTAGGGGGCGATCAGGCTAGCAGGCAGAAGTGGTTAGGTGCAATCAGGCAGGCAGGCGGGAGAGCGATTAGGAGTCAGTGGTCCTGGATTGAGAGAGGGATGTCCGACTGTGGGATCGGGCCTAAACCGGCAGTCGGACATCCCCCGAGGGGTCCCAGATTGGAGAGGGTGCAGGCCGGGCTGAGGGAACTCTCTCCACATGCGTGAATTTCATGCACCGGGCCTCTCGTTTGATAAATAATGTTTTCCATTCACTCCAAGGAAAAGTATATATATATATATATATATATATAAAGAGCCATGGTCTGTAACATCCAAAACAACCGAAGGCTCAACCTAATGCCCAGGCTGCATGTGCAGCAGGCTCTGGTGGGTGGGGACTTGTGGTAGTGGGGCCAAGGCCGGGGGAGGGGGGACCGGCACTCACACTCATTCACAACATACACACACACAGACACACACAATGCCTACCAGCTCACAGTCTTTTCTCCCTTTCTTTCCCTCCCTCCCAGCTTGCTCTCAGAGTCTCTCTCAGAATGAGGCCCCAGGGAAGGCAGAGGATGGAGCTGCCCCCATTGGCCCTGCTCGCTCCCAGCTGGGAAAGAGGAAGAGAAAGGGAGGCAGGGAGGCCTGGAGGACTGCTAGAAAAACAAAGAGAGACAGAGACAGGGAGAGACTGGGATGGAAACAAAATAACAATATTAAAATATTTCCTCTAATTAATTCCCTTTTAATGTGCATGAATTTCATGGACTGGGCCATTAGTATAAATATAAAAGGAAGCATATAAGCTTTTCAGTTTAAGTTAAATATAAGCAGAACCATCTCATGTAAGTCTAGCGTTAACCATAATATGAAGTTTAGGAAACCTCAGACTTGCTGAATTTAATTGTTGAAGTCCTTCAGTGCCCATTTACTTCAACCCCAATAACTATGGGAGGGAGCAGTGTGGGTTATGTAACTGAATTCATTTGACTGCAAACTTGAGAAATCATCTTGTGCTTGTGTCATGTGCTTATCGTATATTATTTTTTCCTTTTATGTGACATTTTGTGCTTAGTTCTTGCCATGCATGAAAATGTGCTCAAGTGCCCCACCCCAGGATGCACAGGAAGAGGGCATGTGAACAGCAACCGGAACACCCACAGGAGGTAATGGTGATGAGTTGCTAATCTTTTACATTACAAGAAAGAAGTGAGAGACACTTCCCATCAAGAAAATAAGAAGCTAGCAATGTGTTATCCAAATCACTGCAGCAGTATCAGATACCTGACCACTTGAAGTAGATAAGAAGTATTCTTAACTTGTGCAGACTAAAAAAAAAAATGACCTCACTATTTACTCTCCTGGAAATGTTCTTTTAGCAGTCAATTATGCTAACACAAACGTTAAATTTGAAGACCAGGATTACACATTCATATAGTCATACAAGTAGAACATGTTATCTTTTGCTCTGAACCCATAGCTGTTTTGATATTGAAAAGAATCGCTTAGGAGTTATCTTGAACCCCATTCTAAAAGCATTAAAAAGGTACTCAAAGGGCTTCGATATGCTGTGGTTTTGAATATATATTAGGATGAAGCTAAATATTATTACACTTCATGGAGATTCATCTCATTGAGATCTCATCTACCTTAAAACACATATGTGCATTTATATACAAATGTATTGTGTATACGTAAATATTTTTTGGTGAAAATGCTTATTGTTTTATGTGTATTTTGTATTATGTATAGACTATGTAGTCTGGAGATACTATTTGATTCATAAGCATATTGCCAGAAACCTTCATATTCTATTTAAACTCAGATATCCAATGAAGTCGCTAACATTTCCCTAAAGATCCGAAGATAAATCATGGAGTTATCATGCTAACATCTATAGTTGGATACATTGCAATTGGAGTGAGCACTGTCCACTTAAAATATTATAGAAGTTTCAGGATAATTTAGTTATTTCTTCTTTAGGTAATACTTTGATTTTTAATATGAGTTTGTTAAACTCATAACCTCTGAGATGTGGTTGAGGGACATATGTTGACACTATAGTTTGCAAACCCCTTTACTGTGTTAAGTGAGCTATTAATGTGACTTAATAGTGTGTGCGAGGTATGTTGTGAGGTACCTGCCAAAGCAAATTATGTTATCTTTTCTTTTTTTTAACTCAAATCCTCACCTTTTTATTTTTGACAGTCTTTCGGGTTGTCCAATTGCTGCGGCTGAAAAATTGGCAATGTCTCAGGACAAAAGTCAGTTTGATTCTTCCCAAACTGGGCAGTGTTCTGACCAGGTTCACAGGTATGACCCTCCCAGGACACGCCTGGTACTGTATTCATGCCACACTCCTGCACAATGCGTCTGTCCCCTCTCGTGTGCTAGTTCACTGCAGCCAACATTCATTCTCAGCTACCAAAAGCTGCTGGCGAGGCTGGTCCAGTTGATCACACTGTCACTTAAATGAACTTCTAGACCCTCTAGAAGTTTCACTTGAAATTAATCCGTATGCAAAGGTAACATAATGTGGTTGAATCTAAAAGAACTAAAGTATATGATAACATATATTAATCAAAAATTGGCATCACTAAAGGCAACCCATTCCACTGGTCAGTTATGGTCTTCCTAATGATTGAATTAACCTTTCTCCCCAGAGAAAATGCCACCATAAATCACTCATATCACTCAAACTGCGTGGTGCTATATATTCACCTTCTCTTCCACATGTATATTTAACTTTTTTTAAAACAAAGATTTAATTGAGTAAGTTGATAACTATTAATAAAATATATCTAATTGGTCCTAGGTGCATCACAATCTCTCGTAGTTTAGAAGACAATATTTATACCTAAGTAGTAAACTATATATGTTGCCACTTAATGTGATGTTATACATTTAGTAATATAAAAATCATATATCTAAGAAAAGTCATTTCAAGATGAAAACAGATGATCAGATCTTCATTGTTACTGAGACACTAAAATGCAAAATAGATAGTAGGAATATTTTTTTGAGATTTGGCTTCTATTAATATGTGATCCTATAGATTTAATTAAAAGATTCAAAATAGGAATTCAAATCCCATGAGTGAAGAATATATGTCAAGCCCTAACAGGTTTGACTCAGCAGATAGAGCGTCAGCCTGCAGACTGAAGGGTCACGGGTTCGATTCTGGTCAAGGGCATGTACCTTGATTGCGGGTACATCCCCAGTAGGGGGTGTGCAGGCGGCAACTGATCAATGTTTCTTTCTCATTGATGTTTTTAACTCTCCATCTCTTTCCCTTCCTCTCTGTGGAAAATCAATAAAATATATTAAAAAAAGAATATATGTCAAATGAAGTACATGAATTACTGAATAACTAGCAATTTAATATTTTATAATATGCTTCTTAGTATTACTGTATTCTCTAGTTTTCCCCTAAGTAGGTTATTTATTAAATATAGACATAACATTAAGTTTTAATTTGCTTATTTTTTAAAAAATAAATATTGTTTTAGACTGGAACACATGCAACATTAGGAGTATAAACCAAGTTATATACACAATAGCAAGATTAATTCATCACTCAAAATATTTTTATAGCCGAAACCGGTTTGGCTCAGTGGATAGAGCGTCGGCCTTCGGACTGAAAGGTCCCAGGTTCGATTCCGGTCAAGGGCATGTACCTGGGTTGCAGGCATATCCCCAGTAGGAGATGTGCAGGAGGCAGCTGATCGATGTTTCTCTCTCATCGATGTTTCTAACTCTCTATCTCTCTCCCTTCCTCTCTGTAAAAAAATCAATAAAATATATTTTAAAAAAAAAAATATTTTTATATTTCAGCAAAAAAGTTTTTTTTACCAAATCCAGGAAATATCACCAAAACTTTGACATTCTGATGAGTCAGGCATGTTTTGGTAGGAGATTATATATATATATATATATATATATATATATATATATATCCCCTCCAGAAATGTCTACACACTTTGAATGATTATAAAGTAAGTGTTTATTAACATACAGGTCATTTTCAAGATTTAAAAGAATCTACAGAAATGAATAATTTTTTTTGGTCAACACCTGTTTTCAAACTGATGACTGTTCTGGTCCAAGCACTGCTGATAATGCAAAGCACTGGAATTACAAGCATCAAGAGTCATTTCCTTCAGGTTTTGTGCACCCTCAATTTGTCAGCTGTTGCCAGTTTTGTACTGTAAACTTTATCTTTTATGTATCCCATAAAAAAGTCTAGTAGATAAATTTTCTTTGTTCAAAGCTTAGTCTGGCTTCGCCTATTATTTCAAATCAGTTGAACCTGAAAAAGAGTGAAAATTAAGTGAGTTACCAGTTGTTAAAGTATATACATGTTTTTTGGGACACCTTGTATATCTATCTATCTCTATCTATCTATCTATCTATCTATCTATTCTGAAAGGTATATTTGTTTAAATTCTTTTACCATTAGACCATAGCACAACAATATTTGTGTTTTCATTGACTGGAACCGGTACTCCATAAATAGGATGCCCTTGTTTAATCCAAATACAATAATTCTAAAGGAATAGTTAACTCACATTTAGCTTAGATCGGGATAATTTTGTTGAAAACTGTGATAGCTGTGATAACACAGTAATTTAGATTCCTATTGAAATGATGGCAATTTAATAGCTACAATATTGAAATACTATTTAAACTATTACGTAAATTAGCAAAAACATTCAGACTGCAGTTAGCAAGAACGGTGAAAAGCCTGAAAAGAAACTCACAATCCAGGAATCCGATCCGTTTCCTGGTGCCTTGGCTGCCCTTTTGGGTGCCAGGCTCCTGCCAGTTCTGCCGAGCCCGGCAGGGAGGCCAGCATCGCTTCTCCTGATCGGAATCTAACGGCTTTTCCTCACTAGTTATGTTACTTGGCACTGCTAATTTGATGAACAGTCCTCGCAAGCAGAATGTGCACACCTTGTCAGTGCCCTACTAATAGTTACACAGCACTTTTCTCTAAGGAGCTCAAAGTGCTAACATCCATCGAATCCTTGCTCCTCGTGGCATCTGCATCGGATGAATGGGAGACTGTACATCTTTCCTTTACGGATGGGAGACTCAGACACACAGAATGAAGCCTCCCCTTAGCCCCCCCGAGCCCAAAGCGCCTCCCTATCTCTTACTCCGGGTGCAGGGCTGTGACCACAGGCCTTTCCCGCAGTGCAGCGCCGCTAAGGGTACCCTCAGGCCTCTGATCTGCTTTAATTCTGAGGCTGGTGTGTTCACCAAGAGTCTCACCATATTTCTTTCAAACTCTTCAGGACAAGCTTGGTGAAGCAAATAGAATTCAATTTCCGATCACAAGCCATCGCCTCCCCCAGAGCCACGGTGTCAAAAGAACAAGAGAAATTTGGAAAAGTACCGTTTGATTATGCCAGCTTCGATGCACAGGTTTTTGGTAAACGACCCCTAATACAAACAGGTCAAGGACAAAAAAATGCACCGTTTCCTGAATGTAAGCTTTGAATTCTAATGCTTATTCCAAAAAGTGTATATTGTGTATGTGTGTGTTTGTGGGGGGTGGGGGGGTGCACTTAAATATGCTACTCACTGCTGGGAGAAGAGAAAATATATTGTACATCGAAATAACAGAAACAACGATAAGTTGATGAGTGTTGCTGATTTTATATGAAGTTACACTGAATGTGGTGATTAATGAATGAATTAATTATTCTAAAAATGTGGTACTATTATTGAGTCTGAATACAATTTTCTAAAGAAGTATTTAGTTCACATTAGGCTGAGATTGGGATTAATATATTGAAAATGGTAATAGCTATTATAAGAGAGTAAATTTGACGGAGAGTGGAATTTTGAAAATTTAATAGGTAAAATATTGAAATACTACTTAAAACATTACTTAATTAGCAAAAGTGTTCAGACTGAAAGTAGGAGAAAAAGTGAAAAGACTAAGAAGGAACACAATTTACTGGGAAAAAACGTGTGTGGCTATGGAGATATTTACTCACAAATTTAAGAATTTATATAGAAACATTGAAAATGTGTTAATACTCTAATGCTAACACATCCACATGGAAGATGTGTTCATAACTCAACGATGCTCTAACATATAAAGCTTGATGGTTTTCCTAACACATTATTTTTCAAGTTGTTTAGAGTCTTTTGAGTATTTTAATGAAAAGGAGAGAAAGTGACATTGGCAATAAAGCCAGGAATGATTTTTTCATTATAGTAACTTAATCATAAGGGAAGAAGCAAACTAATTCCCCACTTTGAGTCCTCCATAGACCACGAAGTATATACGACATTCCACAATTCTGTGAAATCCTTTGATCTCACACCTCTTCACCAAGACTGAGTGCTCCTACCACACAGAACCTTTGCTTCATTCTGGGATATTGATCTCCTCTTTCAAAGGTCTAGGATGCTTTATGAAACCCAACAGTATAAAACCAGGCCTGAAATGAGTCTGCTATCAATGAGAAGGAGCTTATACTCCAAATATGCTTTGTCTAGTCTTTCCAAAAATAGGTCCCAGACACCATAAATAAGCACTGAAAACCTGTTAGATTAAGGAAAAAATATCACACACACATGTGCGCACACACATGCACAGAGTATGTTTTGTATCTATCTATACAATGTTATATATAGTTTCATTAAAAATATGCAAAACACACACACGTGCATATCTGTTTAATTCTGGTAAAGCTAGTTAATAAGAGCTATCTGTATACTCACATAATATCAACATTGGTTTAAAAATGTGAAATATTCAGTGATATTTTCATATTTTTATGTAGGGATAACATTTGATAAGTTTTCAAATTTTGTTTTATAAAAATAATGATAAAGCATTTAAAATAACCAATATTGACAGCAAAATGAATAACTAACTGCTTTAATATAATCCCCCATTATCTTGGGTGTGTCTCCTGTAATCTTGAGTGATGTTTACAAACACCCAGTGAAGAGAAATATGCATAATCCTCTCTCTCAGCAATGCCTTGGTACCCACAACAGAAGCATACAACAGAAACTCCGCCGTGATATCTAAGTTGCCTTTCTGTTTACCTTGAGGACATTTTCTCTGTCCGTTGCTCATCGTGTGCTGCCTGAATATGCAAAATGCCAGCTCATTAAAGACTCTGCCATCTAGTTAGTTCCATCTAGTTGGAGGAAGAACAGCTTCTACTGGTTTAAGTACAAAACAAACCTGGGTATCAAATAAACAGAAATGCAATTCCATATCTAAATATAACTTGTTATTGTGAAAGCAAATATTGAAAGGATATATATTTTCTCTTCTGGAATGACTGTTTACACAGTTTACAGATGTGTAAGCCTTAACCCTCTGTAGGCCCTGATGTGTTTTAGCTAGAGTGGTTTTTAATATACAATCTTTGCCCCAAATGCTGCCAGTGCACCTGCCCCATAACATTAGCTGTGGAGTTTTGCTATAAGATGTATAAATACAAAAAATATTAAGAGAATAGGCATCTTTTTTCTCCAGCATTCACACCATCTGTGAACTTCTGTGATAACCAATCTGAGTAACCTTCCTTGAATGTACCAGTGCATAATGGATCGTGTTTTAATTCACTCTTCACATATTTTAAAGCAAGAAGTTATATCTTTAAAACAAATCTGTTTAATGACCGGCACCACGTACATGCAATTGCTAATCAAATCTCTTTTCAGCAGCGAAGCATTTTTCAAATCCAGGGAAATTTCCTAATGGACTGCCTGGTGCAGGCGCCCACACACAGAGCCCTTGCCGTGCCAGCTCTTACAGCTACGGTCAGTGCAGCGAAGACACCCACATAGCAGCAGCTGCTGCCATCCTGAACCTTTCCACCCGCTGCAGGGAGGCTGCAGACATCCTCTCCAACAAACCACAGAGCCTGCATGCCAAGGTAGGCCAGTCCAAGAGCCTGGAGGGGGGGCCGGCGACTGAACCCTGAGAGTAAACTGCCTTTCATGTTCCTAACCACGTGCACTGCCCTGCCGCTCCCACCCCTAAAGCACATCCCCTCCTTGTCTGAAGAAGAGGGTCAGGGGCCACAGTGACAGGGATGAGCTTGGCTGGTTCCAGGAGGCGTGAAAGAGGGGCTGTTCTGGAAGGTGGTGCTCCCAAGTTGGGGGCGACGTAAGCTATAGAGACTGGTTGGGGAGATGTGTAGCTTTCAAAGTTATGTTTTTTTGTTTGGTTGTTTGTTTGAGGAGTTTGGCACACAAGAAAAGAGGGCTGCCATTAAAATCAGTCTGAACAAGGGAAGCTTTTTGCTGTCTGCGAATCAAAGAGGGTAGGAACTGTATGATTCAACAGTGACTCGTAAAACCTTCGCAAAACTGACTCAGGGCATTTTGTAATTGCATGTGATCGCTAGCCCAGGGCGCTGTAACTCTCAAAGGACATGTAGTAAAACCCAGACACATTAAATCCACAAGAGATAGTTCAGGGGGACTTGAGGGCTTAGGGCAGGGGTGGGGAACGTCCGGCACGCAGGCCATTTAAGGCCCGTGAAATCATTTGGTCTGGACTTGGCAAGGCATTAGGGGTGAGCTAATTAAATGCTTAACCAAATATAGATGGCTAATTTTTAAGTTAATAATTTTTATCACCCTTGAATGATGTTATACATATCCAAATAGCCCTTGGTAGGGAAAAGGTTCCCCACCCCTGGATTAGGGCATCCAAATCCAAAATCTAATTCTAGCAGGTGCATGAAGATGCCACATTTCTGAAGCCTCAGAAGTTAATTCTGTTTCTCTAATGACCTCGCCTTTCTAACCAGCAACGAGAAGTCCACATGCGTGTTTCTGACACCTCGATGACAACAAGAAACAGAGGCCCTGTGTCCTGCCTTTTGAGAAGGAGGGGTTGATGGGCTGCGAGTCACAGTGATCCTCCCCAGAGGGAGGGCAGGACTGAGCCTGCCATCAGCCTCAGCGGGAGCCAGCAAGTCCTACCTACACAAAGGGCTCCCTTAAAATAAACCAGTTTCTACCCAGATGGCAGAAGGCAACCGAAATAGAGTGTGGGCTTATTTGGAGAAGAGATTTTACTCCTGCTTTCAGTGAAAGAGCCTTGGGTTAAACGCTAACCCCAAGATTCAGGCGATCAAAGGATATTGGTCTCGTTGCCAATTAAGCGCAGCCCCATCCCCAGTGTGGTCAGCTGCTCACCTGTGCCTGCCAGGCCTTCAGGAGAGTGGGAACGCGGCGCTATGGAGCATTTGACAGAAGAATCGGAATTAGCTTCTGGACAAATCTGAGCCAAGTAAACCCCAGGAAGAGTTGGTGGCCAAGAATCACTCAAAAACAATTTTTAAACAAATGAGATTCTTAAACAAAGAAAAATACATCCTCTAAAAATATAAGGAAAATACCAACTTATCCAAATTCAAAGGACACCAAGTCAGAGATTATTTACTTAAATAAATGATCTAGGGTACTTCAAAATGCAACTTTTGTTATTTTAAAATTTATTTTTAAATCTGACTATTTTTTTCCTTTTTCAATATGCAGGTAGTTGGAGAAATACTGAACTATTGTTCTTCTTAGTGCTTTATTATTTCTTTGTATAGGCTGTTCTATGAAAATAAAGGGCCAATATCATAATGATTAGTGCTGCTAAATCACTTGAGTAGAAGATTCTAGGTCGAATGCTTTACATGTGCACATGCAGATATATTTTTGTTTCTCAGAATTCTGACTTTAACCTTAATTAATACACTCCTGTGTTCTATTAATTGATGCAGCCAAACAATGAATCAAACAAAGATGACTAAAATCTGAGAGCATTTTCCCTTATCAATATATGTTTTCTTTTTAAAACACATTTTTTTTCTGGTCAGAAAAGTGACTGTTAAATTGGTTTATTTCAAAAATGCAAATGACCGACTTCCTGTGTATGTTCCTCTGCTCCTACTGGGCGCGCTCTGAGTGCCAGTGTCCCCTGTGGAGCAGATGCTCCTGCCCAGGGGACAGGAGCTCACTGCTGGTCTCAGCCTCCCAGTTGCCAGCCCAGTCTTCACGGCAGAAGCCAAATCCGCGACGTGATGATGAAGACAGAAGAGACGGGAAGGGCAGAGATAGACTTTTAGAAGGAGTCTGCTATTCTGGAAGCTTTCTAAACCATTCCCCCATGAAAGTGACCTCATTTGGCACAGTGGTCGTTAAAACAGGCTAAAGATGGCCCCTCCAAAGTGTCACTTGGTAAGGAATCCTTCCCCCAGGCACACATTTGCACACAACTGTAGCAATTGGTAGAATTTGGTCCTTGTCAGATCCTGTTTTCTGAATAAAGAAGAGAACCTCATAAATTCCTAAAACCACAAAACATAATTTTTGTAGCAAAAAATAAAATGGGGGGGGGGTGAGGGGGAGAGAGAGAGAGAGAGAGAGAGAGAGAGAGAGAGAGAGAGAGAAAGCCAAAGTAATTAACCCTGAAAATGGCCTCTGACACAGTGCCCATTGTGGGCCATGTGTATCGTCAGCATTGCACTTTGCTCTGTGCCTTTTGCTTAACGTTGGATGAACAATCATTCCCTCCACGTAGAGGACTAGGCTGACTCTCTTTCCACTAGCTTTGTTTTTCCCCCCATGGCAGGCTGTGAGCATGTTTATGTCGGATGGGAAACAGCCATAGATCTCTTGAGTTCCCTATTCGGAACCAAGGATGCGGACATAGGAAGTTTCCCCTTATTCTTGACTTCTACAGCCAAGCATTTTTGATGTACTAGAGCAGCGGTTCTCAACCTGTGGGTCGCGACCCCTTTGGGGGTCGAATGACCCTTTCACAGGGGTCGCCAGAGACCATCGGAAAACATATATAATTACATATTGTTTTTGTGATTAATCACTATGCTTTAATTATGTTCAATTTGTAACAATGAAAATACATCCTGCATATCAGATATTTACATGACGATTCATAACAGTAGCAAAATTACAGTTATGAAGTAGCAACAAAAATAATTTTATGGTTGGGGGTCACCACAACATGAGGAACTGTATTAAAGGGCCGCGGCATGAGGAAGGTTGAGAACCGCTGTATTAGAGAGACATTTTGGCAGATGGACTCTTAACTGTATGGACCAAAGGTGTTGAAGTGCTGGACTGCTCAGGCCCAAGTTAGATCCCATCACAGGCCCTGCCTTCCATAAGCTTTACAGACCCAGTAGGCACAGTGGTTGTCCCAGGCAGAGGGCTAGGTTTTCAGCGGCCATGGTCCTCGTGTCCAGGTGCGGATGGGTGGCTTTGCAGAGAATTTGATCAGAACTTGGGCAGGAGCTGATTTCTTATTTTCCTTCTGCCTCCATCCAGTCCTTTCTTTTACGTCAGCAGCTTCTCTGAAGTCACTGAAAGCGCCCAATGAGAGAACAAAATTATAGGTCACAACCTTCTTAACAGGCACAACCTTCTTAACATCAAGCCTAAGGACAGGAACCTTGACATTGTCTTCCTATTCACCTGTTGAGGTGAATACAGAGTTTGTTTTTCATGCTATTGGCAAGCTCTCAACCGATTCCAAGTTGAGTAGGAGATCTGAATTCTTGATTTGCAACATCCCTACTCTAGTGGAAGATAGGAGCAGAGGCTGTTTTCAGAGTGGCAGGAGAGCTTTGAGTTCTTAACACTAAAAGCAATGAAGATTGGGCGTTATGGATATTCTAAAACACTCTTCTCTTTCTGAAGTTCCTCAGCCCCGAGCAGCTCTCTACCCAACACTGGAACACTGTCTTCATCAGCCCTTCCCAACACTGCTCTGAGGATATCAGTACTAACACCCCTGCCCAAACTCAAGTCCATTGCATCTGAAGATAACTTTTAAAGGGATTATTCATTAAAATACAACCTGGCGTGAATGCAACACATCCACCCTGCCAAAAATTACCCATATATGTTTTAAGTATCTCTTTGAAGAGTCAAGTCAAGAGAAAAAAATAGTATCAGTACTTAGTGGATAGCATAACCGTTAGAGGTAATTTTGTGTGAGGTCTGAGCCCTCTTTTGATTCTAGTGCTTACATTTGTTCTAAGATTTATGTAATGTCCTCTATTTTAATTTGGAATTTATATGAGTTTGTAAAGCATACACGGACCACAGCCTCAGACACTCTCCCTTTCGTCTGGTGACTGTTGCTACTGATACTAGCGGAGAATTCAGTCCAATGGGCAGCAGGCATGGGGTGAGCATCCCGGGCGTGTGGAGTTTGCTGAGTGCTTTCCTCCTGCCCTGTAACAGCCTGTGCCAGCACGTGTCAGAGACACTCCCCATTTTCCTTCCTCCCTCCCACCCTCACCAGCAGAGGTAGGAACACGCTTCACAGTCTATCTTTATCCCGGTCGCTGCTGCTTGCCAAGCGTTCTGTTGTTTGTTTTGGTGTCTCCCCCACCTGTTTAGACAAAGTGGCATATGCACAGTGTGCCTTAAAAGAAAACAAAAAATTGACACTTGCTTGAAATGTTTAAAGTTCAAAGTCTGTTTTGTGCTTGAACAAGGCCGAGAAACAACATGATATCACATCGCCATTCTTGCTGCCTGATATCAGAAATAGCCTGGCAGCTCTCAGGGTGGTTAGAATCGGAAAGCGGCCTTTTCAGTAACTTTACACCATGCACTGTGTGTGAAATGCTATAAGGGACTCGGGTCAAGGATTCCAAGGAACCAGTTAATACACGTGTAGGGAAAATAGATATTTAATAACTGGCACTGTACCTCTGTGCACAGTAGCATAGAAACATGTCTCTTTTGGTATTCAAAAACCCAAATTATTATTATTACTAGAGGCCCAGTGCACGAATTTGTGCATGGTTGGGATCTAGCTGGCCTGCCCTGATCAAAGCTGATTGGGCCAGGCCGGCAGGAAGGAGGGGTGGGAGGTGCCGATTGGGGGCAGGGCCAGCCAGGAGGAGGGGCCGTGGGCGGTTGGCTGGTCGGCCCTGCCCCCTGGTTGAACTCCCGGTTGAATTCCCAGTCAAACTCCCGGTTGAGGGGACAATTGCATATTAGCCTTTTATTATATAGGATTAGTTGTCATTCATTGAATACCTATTATGTACCAGGCACTATAAGCTAGCACTTTGCCTACATCAATCCTGTTTAATCTTTCTAGAAATTCCATACAGCAGATATTATCTCATTTTGCCGATGAAACAGCAGTGGTGCAGAGATATTAAGTAATTTTCTCCTAGTGGCACAGCCATGAATGTTGGAGCTGCCATTTGAACTCACACCTGTTCCACGTCTCATCTTTTTAGAGAGCTTGTCATTGTGTGGTATTCAGACTGCTGGCCCACCAACAATTTCCACTGACTATGATTCCAAGTCCCAGACAAAGATTTTTGGGGAATTCCATTTTAATTTCATACATTTTTCAGACAAAGACTTGGGGGAAATATCATTTTAATTTTATATGCTATGGCAGACACTTATTTTTCCTCTGAATTCCACCATTCTATTTATATTGAGTACATTTCACTAGTTTATACTCTTAATTTAGGAGTTTTAGTACTCAAATACTATTTAGTAAGAATTAGATATTTATTTTTCCCCTTTATTTTTAATAATCTGCCTGCTTTGAAAGCAGATTTCAGATAGCTTCCAATCATGAAAAGATACTCCCAAACACCCTGAAGCTAGCGTGAAAGAATACAAGAGATGAAAATGAGGGAGGGGCTAACACCCCAGAAACCTAGGCTGAGGGACACTTCATTTTGCCCGCCCGTTTAGCCAAGTCAGAAAGGAAAAGGTGATGGGAGACCTACCTTGTATTAAGAGAAAATTTTACCAAATATGGAAAACAATGGCTTATCCTACCAATATTTTGAATATTAATAGTTTTTATAATCAGAACATTTAAAGTAAAAATTATGATTTTGCTCCTTTAACTGCATCATCATCATTAATGTATGAAAACATTTTTAATTGTTGAAACAATGCACTATTTTCATGTGCCTGGAAAATATTGGAGGGAATAGCCACAAGTCCATCCTCTAAATAGAAGGACCATACTTTATGCAGTTTTCTTTTTTGTTCCTCTGGAGACAAATTTCTATTTATTTTTTTCCTACTTGTAAGCAGAGTAGAAATGCCAGGCTGTTTCCTGCTTTTGGTGGTAGGTGATATGTCTTTTCCATGCTACAAAGTCCTCATAATTATTATTTTACAGGTTGCATAATGTGTCATTAAATAGATGTAGCATAATTTCAGTAATCATTTCTCTGTTGGTGTACAACTGAGACACTTCTTATTTTATAGTGGAGATAACAATTACAATGAATAATTATTTCAATTTTCAGTTTAATAATTTATAACATTTATTAAATCACCTTTTACTACGAATTTCTTATACACATAAAACAAGCTCTTCGGAGTCAGGAACAATGTATTTTTTCAATTTTCTTTTCCCCCAAATATAGTAGCTTGAAAATATTAAATGCTTTATCAGCAATTCAATGAAAAAATAAGTGAATCGTAGGTAACATCTTTAACTTGAAAGTGGCTGAAATGGATAAGATGGTGTTTGACATGCTCCCAAATTGGAAAGTACATGAGTAGTGACAGACTTATGCCTACCCTCAAGAAAACTTAAAATTTAAAGTTAAACTAAAGATCCCAAGGAGCACTTTGAGCAATGAGAATATTAGAAGTCTGGGGTGGGGCTCCATTAGCAGCGGAAGGGCTATTTTCTCCTCCTGCAGCCGCCCGCCCCCCTCAAACTCCTCCCCACTTTCATCCTGCCATTTGGAGTTTCAGACTGGAGAGAAGTGATGTCCATAGACACAGCTCTGAATAAAACCCCGTGCAGTGAACGTGTGATCCACCCATCGACGGGCAGAAAGGGACCCTTCCCTGGGACTGTGTGTAATTGTGGAATGCATCTGTGCGCTCACTTAAAGCCCATCTGTACCCTGGTGCCCAAACGTGCTCTCTCCCAGGCAAGTCAGGTGCTCAGAGCAGCCGGCTGGAGCCTGGGCTGCGGGAAAGTGCCTCTTTTAAACATTAGGAGTGATTTTTTTTTTTCCAATCAGCACACGATTACTCAAGATGTATACTCATAGCAACTGTATTTTTGAAAAATGTACTATTTGGAACCTTTTCCCCCCCTGTGAAAATTAAAATACATATTAGCGTTGCCTTGGGATAATTGATATTTTTCAGTGAGCTCAAATCTGCACTATTTGTGGGTTTTGTACTATAAAACTCTGCAGCCCAGGCACATGGCTCCCTTTCCCTAAGCCATCTGTCACAGAGGTCTGGAATTTTATGTGAATGTTGGTTGTGCAGTCTTAACCCAAGTTTTTTTTTTTTTAATGAAAAAGTGCCAGCAACTATGACATTTAGCACTTTACATTGGTTATTAAACTTGATTACTATAGATCTGTTTTATTGCTGTAGTTACATAGCAGCTCTGAAGCCAATAATTGCCTTGATATGCTCATGACAGAATGCATTGTTATATCATGGAGACAGCACATGGCACTGATATGGTTAATATCTTGGGTTTTTGTAACTAAGGTCTATTAATGCTGGTAGAAAAGTGTATTTGATGTTATACAGATGGCATAAGATGTTGTGGTTACTAAGTTATTATCCCGGATAAGCTGTACTGTCAAATTCAGGGCTTAAAACTATCACAGGAGATTAAACTATTTACTGAAAAGGACAGAAAGATATGGCCAAAGCATCTTAGTACAAACATATTAGAAGTGTATTTACCTCCCACAAATACAATGAAGCATTATCTGTCTCATAGCCCGAGAGCCTAAAGATAGGAACTTTACAGGTAGAACAAACAGACAGAAGAGGTGATTTTAAAATATATTTTTATTGATTTCAGAGAGGAAGGGAGAGGGAGAGAGAGATAAGAACATCTACGATGAAAGAGAATCATTGATGGGCTGCCTCCTACAGGCCCCCCCACTGGGGACAGAGCCCACCACCCGGGTGTGTGCCCTGACCCGGAATCAGCCGTGACCTCCTGGTTCATAGATCAGCGCTCAACCACTGAGCCAGGCGGCCGGGCTTCATTTTCTAAATCAGGGGCAAGCAGTGAGCCCAGCTACTGTGTGTGGCCCACACCTGAGTGGCAGCTGTCGGGGAGGTGGAGGCAGTGAAAATGGGGAGTTCGAGTCAATCCCCGGGGAGGTAACTGGCTACCACACACGTCAGGGATCCTGCTCACATATTCAAGGACGCCTCCTGCTTTGCCAGCCTGAAGGACAAAGAGTAGAGAAGTCGTTCAAAAGTTAAACGTGAATTGACGGATGATGGCGAGAACGCCAGAAAGAGACTCATTTGACCCACTTAGGAACATGACAAGCGTGTTTTTCCCAGCATCTGGCAGTGCTCCCGACTTATGATGCCGTGAAAAGCCCGCCTGTGCAGGCACCTTGCAGAATATGCAGACACACGGGCACGTGGGCCTCAAAAACAAAACAAGAAAACCTTAGCCAAAGGTGTCCCCACAAGAAATGCTGTGAGGAGGGCAGTTTTAAGTCTTTTACTAAGTGTCACCTTTCTTCTGAAGATTTTACTGTAGAACTTAAACCGTGAGCGGCCATCCTGGCAGCTGCTACCCAAAGGCCCCGAGTGAATCATGGTTTGCACATCTGCCTCCCCCAAGTTGCCTCCCCACAATTTAACAAAGCTTTTCCGGTTCAAGTAACCCAGGGTAAAATGTTACTTTCATGTCAATCTAGCATTCCAATAAGAATTCTCTTCCGGCCTGGTTATTTTTCCACTTTTCTCATGTTAGGTTAATATTGTGATGTGGGGGTTGGAGGGAGGAATACTGTTGTACCTTTTTATAAAGGCAAGTATTAATGCTTTCAATGATGGATTGCGAGTGAGAATTCTGCAAACTAGGAAAGAAGATTTAAAGCTAAACTTTAAAAAACACCTGACTGGTTTAGCCAATACATTTAGTATTTGGAACCTCTTATTTCTATTAGCCTTACTTTGTTTAAACCCAGAAACATGAAAGCTCACTAATGGGGCTGCTCTGAAAAGTCTGCCTAAGAATCGAACATTAACCAAAGCAAATCAGAAAGCGAGGTTTAGCATCAGATATACTTACATAAAAGCTTGCATTTGAAATGATCCCTTTAAAGCCCCATGTGGCTCAGCTATAACAGCAAACTGCTTAAATGTGGTGTTTTTCTGTTTCCTATGTGTACCAGGGAGCCGAGATAGAAGTGGATGAAAATGGCACATTGGACTTGAGCATGAAAAAAAATCGACCCCCGGACAAAGCGGCACCCCTAACTTCCTCGAACACGACTATTCCCACTCCTTCCTCTTCCCCATTCAAAACAAGCAGCATTTTGGTCAATGCAGCGTTCTACCAGGCTCTGTGTGTCCAAGAGGGCTGGGATGCTCCTATCAACTATAGCAAAGCTCATGGGAAGACAGAGGAGGAGAAAGAGGTATTGCTTCAGTATGTCCATAAGTTTAAGATTGAAGGGCATGATGGAAGGGTAGTATTGGCTTTTTTTTCTCCTAAATTATTTTTCACAGTCCTGTTTAGATGATACATCATTCTGTGCCTTGTTTTAGATTTTGGTAGAGTGTTAACTTAGAATTTCAGAGGAAATTTATAAATAAATCCAACTTTTCCTGTTACTTGCCTAAAATAATATTAAATTTTTTTGTTTTGTTAATCATCACATGAGGATATTTTCCCATTGATTTTGAGAGAGTGGAAGGGCGAGGGAGAGACACACAGAGAGAAACATCCATTTGAGAGAGACGCATCGATTGGTTGCCTCCCACATTGGGGATGGAGCCTGCAACCAGGTATGTGCCCTTGACCAAATTCGAACCTGAGACCCTTCAGTCCACAGGCCAATGCTCTATCCACAGAGTCAAACCAGCTAGGGCTATTGTTGTGAATTTTATCTCCATTATGGCTACAATTGTGTGAACTGGGTGAGAGATTATATTACCTATGTATGCCTTCAGATACAGCCGCCTGTATTATGAGTTCTTTCTGAGCCAGAAAATAGAAGATGAAACCAATTCAGGGACAAATAGGAATCGTGTCAAATGTATTTCCTTGGTTTCGTAAAGGAACTGTGTTAGCAACACTATGTGCAGTCCGCCTTGCAGAGTCACCCAACTCCAGATGGAAAATGTTCAGAAAAAAGTTACGTTGTTGCTGACATGTACTATGTACTTAAACCAATGACTGAATGTGCCCTGAACACATAGAGACATTTTTTTCCTTGTCGTTAGTCCCTAAATAATATAGTATCACCACTATGTCCATTGCACTTATATTGTGTAAGGTATGATAAGTAATCTAGAGATGATTTGAAGTATACAGGAGGGTGTGTGTAGGTTACATGCAAATACCTCAAGTGTCCATGGATTTTGGTATTTGAGGGGGTCCTGAAGACCCCAAGGAACAGCTGTATGGAGTCATTGGGCCACATGCTGGGTGACTGAGTTGTCTCAATCCCAAAGTCAAGAAGATGCATTCACGTACTTGGTTATCTTAGAGGCGCTTTTACGCCTGCAAGCCAGATGTCGTGATTGTGCAAGAGTTCCTGTAGCCTTCATCTCCCTAGTCTGAGCCACCTGGCTTGGCCTAATTAGCATGACTTAGTGTTGTTCAAAAGAATTCATGGCCGGACCCCTCTGTGGTTTAGACTCTATATCACTGCAAATGTGACCCTAATTGTTACAGTAAGCGATTCTCGTTTGCTTGTTTGTCGGGAAAGTTATAGATACTTGCGTTTACATGTTTAAAGAACTGAAGTAGCCATTCTCTTTGGAAGTGTGCATCACCTTTTCCAGGTTTTTGAAGTCCAGAGACTTTAGGGGAAGAGTGATTTCATTTTAGCATATGCTTGAACATCTCAGTGCATAAGTCAACATAAACAGTAGTGATCTCAGATGGGGTTGTTTGCAATCCCTCTCTACCCTCTCTCCTCCTCTCCCTCCCTCCCTCCTGTTTCTCCCTCTCTCCTTCCCTCTCTCCCTGCCTCCCTCCCTCCCTCTCTCCTTCTCTCCTCTCCCTCCCTCCCTCTCTCCTTCTCTCCCTTCCTCCCTGAAGCACATGTTCACTGGCAGTATTATCTCTATGTCTAAGGTAGGCCCAGTACCATTCTCCCACCACATGTGCTCAATGTAGCTGGAGGACTGACATAACAAATCCCGCTGATAAATGGAGCAGGAGCAGGCACACAAAGTAGAAAGGAAAGGCCAACCTTATGTGTCATGGCTGGGGATGGGTTCCTGGGAGTCCCGAGGACCCAAGGCACGCTCTGTGTCACCAGCACACACACCATCCCGGGAGTGGAGAGGGAAATTGATACAGCAGCTGCTTCCTATGAGATTCTGTCATGCTGGACGTAGTCACTTTATTATGCCTGGCTTTTAAAAACGTATCTAGAATGTTGAGGGATGGTCTTAGTTCATCTATCCTAATTGTATTTTAGAAGAACAGTTTCTTAAAATAATATATATTTGACTTTACTAAATATAAAACCGGCACATACAAAGTATAAAAAGCTGGTTTACCGTAAGCGATGACCACAAACTGACAAACATGTGTTCCTTCCTCCCACCACATTCCACCCAACCCCTACCCCACCACTTCAGGCTCCTGTCTATTTTTATAACCCAGAAATCTGCTGAAATTCATATTAACGGATCAAGCATAGTCATGATGAGATCAAGATTGTTGATTCAATCCTACCTCATACAGGCCAGCTTTAGAAAATGGGGGGGGGGGGGGGCTCCAATTCTCCAGTCTTCTGAGTCTCCAGCCAGTCAATTGCTGATGGGATTGTGGCCTATCCCCCCACGCCACTAATGGGAATCCTAGTCCACGTTATAAGATCTGTTGCTGGGGGTTCAGTAAAAGTCGTATGTCACATGAAGGACAGTGCTTTGCAAAGTCAGCATAACTGCGTTCTAATTCTTGGATGAATCCTGCTAGGATAAAGCCCACCATGTGTGCAAGTGTCTCAAGGCCATGTGCAGGGGGGACTCAGGCTTTCTGGCCTCATCGTTGTGACCGTGCTGTAATGGGCCATGGTTAGTGTTCGCCGGACATCCTTCTATTCCTACAGAGTCAGACAAACGGATCCAGTCCTGAGTTAATGAAGCACATGTCAGACAAGTGGGCTCTCACGTCCATTTAGGGTCTTGTGTTGGACATTGGTTATAATTCTGTGCCCTCCGCAACAATGCCAACACTGTACCTTTAATATGCTGAGAAATTCCTCCCATTTGGGGGTCTAATTAGTGCCTAAGGGACCTCGTTGGCTACACTTTTATCACTCAGCCAGAGAGTGAGATCTTATAACAAATAGTTTATGTTTACTTTCCAAGCTCATTTTTTTGCATAATTCCCCCAAAATATGGATTCACCTTGGCAGCTTTTATAATTCAATAGAAATATGTTCTTACCAAATGCTTATAAATACTAGTATATGTGGGCATGTTTTATCTCCTGGCAAATTCATGGGGAAAAATGGATTTGTTTAGATTCTTGCTCTTTTCGAATGGCGTGCTTACTCCGGGCCTGATAGTACGGATTTTTACTTCTACAGTTTGCAACCTAAATAATCTAAAGTCTGGAATTTAGAAAGCATGTGGAGATTCAATGTCATTAAGAAGAACAAAAAGGGCCCTGACCGGTTTGGCTCAGTGGATAGAGCGTCCACCTGCGAACTGAAAGGTCCCAGGTTCAATTCCGGTCAAGGGCATGGACCTTGGTTGCGGGCACATCCCCAGTGGGGGGTGTGCAGGAGGCAGCTTGTCGATGTTTCTCTCTCATCGATGTTTCTAACACTTTATCCCTCTCCCTTCCTCTCTGTGAAATATCAATAAAATTTATATATATAAAAAAGAAGAACAAAAAGGGATTTGAAGATGCTAAGTGAGTTCTTAGAGTCAAAGTGCTTGCCTAGGTTTGAGTTGACAAAACAGGTTTTAAGCTTAATGCTTATCACTGCAGTTATCTGACGTGGGTGACCCAGTGCTTGGGGGAGCTACAGCCAGTGGGGACGGGCAGGAGAGAGAGTGCTCTGGATCACCTCAGCCCCCAGCACACGCTCTCACCTTTTGTTCTTTGTTCCCTCACCTGTGACAAGGTAATCAACTAATAGGGAGTATTGTTCACATCCTGTTCTGAAGCTTGAAAATGAGAAGTGAGATACTTCATAGGCATTATTTTGAAAAAGTAGATTGCATTCAATGTCCTCCTTGGGAAGGTACCAGAGGGATACCATGTTCAGTAAAAATAAAGGGATCTTTATCCTGAGATCTGTATACTGAGAAGCAGGATTATTATCAATGTTTTTAGAGGAGAAAATTGAAGCTCAAGGAGGGAAAGGTGTTGATCCTTGGTCATGCAGAAATTAAGTAATGGGCTGGGCTTCCCTAACGTGAAGAAAAGGGAGAAGAGAGAAAATAGAAACAAAAGAAAAAAAATACACCAAAAAAAAAAAAAAATGGAGACAACTAGGGAATATTGAAAAAAAATAGAAAGGAAAGAAAAAAGAGAATAACGAAGAAAAAGTATGTGGCAAGGTTGGTGGAGGCAACCGTGGTCTACAGTGCTTCTCAGAATAGCAGGATCCAGAACTATAGGATGTGACCACACAAGTTACAGGGACTGGTCCAAGCTTGTCATTTTCAGTGAGCTTCACTGGCATGGCTGCACACGGCCCGGTGATATACTGAAGACTACCTTGTGGTCTGTTCCTGCTCCCGTACCCCCATCCCTCCTGTTGCCACCTCCATCACCTCCCCACCCCCACCTCACATGACACGCATACATCTACACACAGGCAACCAGAAATTGAGCGATTATTTCTAATTCATTGTTATCTAGCTCATATGCACAACAGTTGCTTAATTTTGGTGGCAATTTTCAGAAAATATTGTCTGTCTCTCTCAGTGAAATAGCCTGTCCAGATGCCCCCTAAAAAATTCCTGAATCTGGAAAAAACTCAAAATATCTCAGAAGGAAAGTGCTGAGAAATAACTACGGCTGTCAGTTTCATTCAACTGTCAGTTCTCCAACGATTTCAGGGCTTAAAATGTTAAAAGTGCCAGATGCTATTATCTGTTATTCATGTTACCATTATGTTCTGGTCTTTACTAAAATCCATATAAACGTCCATCTGTACATTAAAGGAATCTCGTTGCATCCAGGTCCTCTCTAAACACACACATATATGCCATGTTCTTTCTTACATAGCCATAGTATAAAAATATTAACTTCAAAATATTCATTAAAAAATATTATTTTATTTAATGATATTTTATATATAAAAAAATTCTTATATATTCTTATAACTTATTTTTTTTTTACTTAGTCCTGTTTAGGAATTTATCCAATATAAAATGCTTCTGTAACAAATGAAGAATTTTCTTAGTGATGGCCATCTGTATTTGAATATCTATGTTCTCTGCAAGTGTTTTAAGGCCAATATGCTGAGCAAAGAAAATGAAGAAAACAATTATTTTATAATGAAACTAGAGGCCCAGTGCACGAGATTCGTGCATGTGGGGGGAGGGTCCCTTGGCCCGGCCTGCATCCTCTTGCAGCCCAGGAGCCCTTGGGGGATGTCCGACTGACGGCTTAGGCCAGTCCCCCTGGAGAGCGGGCCTAAGCCATCAGTTGGACATCCTTAGCGCTGCTGTGGAGGTGGGAGAGGCTCCCACCACCACCGCTGCTCTCACCAGCCATGAGCCCAGCTTCTGGCTGAATGGTGCTCCTCTGTGAGAATGCACTGACCACCAGGGGCAGCTCCTGTGTTGAGCATCTGCCCCCTGGTGGTCAGTGTGCGTCATAGCGACTGGTCGTTCCACCATTCGGTTGATTTGCATATTAGCTTTTTATTATGTAGGATTGCATACATAAGAGTCCAGTTTTTAACAGAAGTTACAAAATATTTAAAAAAGGTCATACCCAATAAAATTGTCTATTAAAGCATTACCACATATTACTATACCAAATGAAATATCATATATTCTGCAAGCATTATTTTGTATGCATTTTAGTCAAACAACTTAAACTTTCATAACTGGTCATTTCTTTCAAAGGCCCCTATTTCCTTGCTTTCTATAATGCACAGATTGAGCAGTTGAACAACGAATAACCTTTACATGTTCATCTATAACTGTTCATACCTTCTTAGAGATTCTTTGTTCTTTATCATAAAAAAAATAATAAGATGGCTTTTTAGTTTATGCCACTTTTGTGAACTTCACTATTTACACAGAAAAACAAAGACTGTTCTACATTGAGACTTAATACTGAACTTAACATTTGTATCTGCTTTCCAAAAGCCAAGACATTTATAAATTATAGTAGAAAATACTAGCGAGGCTGAATCCAGATAACACTAAATGGAGTGGATGGTGGTATTATTAGGCTTTACATCTTATAATTAGGACTTGCTTCACTTTAGGCACCCACATTATAAAACTTGAAAAGTATACTAATAAGCATCATTCATCTATTTTGCTTCCAAAGCAGCCAGTAAAATAGCACTTCTCTTTGTATCTGAGTAGGCAAGTGTTATCAAGTACCTATTTCTCTTTCATTTTCAAGGGTTTATTATTCTCTGCTGCTATTTTCAAACATTTATCAATAGAATAAGATGGGCCCTGATGGGTTTGGCTCAGTGGATAGAGCATCGGCCTGTGGACTGAAGGGTCCCGGCTTCAAGTCCAGTCAGAGCACATGCCCAGGTTGCGGGCTCGATCCCCAGTGTGGGGTGTGCTGGAGGCAGCCGATCAGTGAGTCTCTCTCATCATTGATGTTTCTCTCTCTCTCTCTCTCTCTCTCTCTCTCTCTCTCTCTTTCATTCTCTGAAATCAATAAAAATATATTAAAAATAAAATAAAATGGAACACTTAACACTATAAATAATATATAGAAAAATTATATCAACACAGGTTTTATTAATTTAATCTGATGATAATATAACTTGAGATAGTTTACCAATGTATTTACACTATATGGTCTTGTGTAAAATAATTGATTGAATTGTTATCTAAGTAATTAATGAAAGAAATTGCATTTGCCTTTATAACTGAGATCAAGGTTTAGTATTTTTTCTTTAGTTGGAAATATTCAGGTATTTTGCTTTTCCGTTGCTTTTTAATGTGGACTACAGTTATTAGAATTGTATTTTACCGTTGCATTTTATATCCACTTGATTTAAATGAGATTTACCTAAAAATTTTAAATTGCTTTATCACCTTACTTAGATCAGTACTTTTGAGAATTAAAATACAGTTTTCTGTATTACTTCATATGAATTTAATATTAAATCCAGAAAATATTTACCAGATATAAACTAAATGATGAACTAATCATGTGACTGAAGAAAAGGATCATTAGTTTCCTGTAACATAATATATCAGATGGTAAATAAGTGTTTTGAAAGGATTAATGAGTCTTATGAAATAAAGGTCAGTCTTAAGCTTAAAAGAAGGCCATGAAAATTAGAGATAACTCAACAAGAAATTCCATTCAATAAGTAAAAGCATACCAATTTAGCAAAAAAAAAAAAAAAGTAACTAAGGTAACTTAAGAAAAAATAAGAAGTGCTGCAATAATTAAAGCGATGACCCAGAAAAATCAAACTAAATACCTAGACATTGTAGACTTGGTTATTATTTATTTATTTATTTGTTAATCCTCACCTGAGGATATTTTTTCCATTGATTTTTAGGGAAGGTAGGAGAGGGAAAGATAGAGAGAAACATTGATGTGAAAGAACACATCGATTGGTTGCCTTCTGCACAAACCCCAACCAGGGCCCTGACTGGTTGGAACTTGCAACTGAGGTATGTGTCCTTGACCGGAATTGAACCCGGGACCCTTTGGTCCGAAGGCCAACACTCTATCCACTGAGCCAAACCAACTAGGGCAGTTATTATATATTTAAACAAATAATTTAAATCTTAGTTATTTGTATATTAGAAAGAACATTTTGTTAACTTAAATTTACTTATTCCTTTTCAGATTTAAACTTTTTGTGATTTACTTTTGCAATATTTCTTCTGTTTTACGAATGACTTCTGTGTACATAAGCCCTATGTTCTCTAGGCAATGTTCGTCATACAATAAAACCTGAACTCTATTAGAATAGTAACTTAATTATTTGGCTCAACAAATGCCCCTGTAATTATATTTGCCAAAATGTGAAAATTTTAAAGGTATCCCCATGAATTATAATTTCTCATTCCTCATACTCATTATCTTATTTATTTTGGGCACAAACCCTAGAGGAATTTCAGCTAAGTCTTCAAGCCAAAACTCACATTTGACCCTGAGGACTTCAAATACAGCTGTCTTTCCAGGGTTCCCTAATGCCCTCTGTGCTTCTGTTTCTTGTCTTTTTTTTTTTCTCCAGAAAGACCCAGTGAACTCTCTAGAAAATTTAGAGGAAAAGAAGTTTCCCGGAGAGGCCTCCATGCCAAGCCCTAAACCCAAGCTCCATGCAAGAGATCTCAAAAAAGAACTAATCACGTAAGTGATCCAACATGGCATACTCTGCGAGACTCTGGAAATAAGGTACTCAAGGTCGTATATTTTTGAGTAATAATATCCCGGCTTATATAGTTGATTTTAGGAATGTTTTAGGGCAATTTCAACCATCCAATAGTTAGATATTCTACATGGACCTAAACATATGCACAGAACTAAGAGGATTATGAAGAAAAAAGAAACACCAACAACCCATTTACATGGCATGATCTTATGCTAAAAGAATTAAAAATCTTTTTTTTTTTTTTTTTAAAAACCAACATAAAGCCAATAGAAATGTTTATGTTTTGATCAGAAATTCTTAATCTGATATCCATCGACTCCAAAAAACCCAAGTCAGGGTGTCTACAAACCTTTTTGAACTTAATGCAAATTGCTATTTGGGTAAGACAGTTCATCGTTTTCATCACATTCTCAAAGGACAGAAAAATGAAGTGTGATTATTTTTTAATGGGCACTTCTTACTGGTACAAAAGTAAACAAACGAGGAAGGGTTTTTAAAAGACGTTGAACAATTTTTGGAATATATTTATGAATTCCTAGAAAATGATCTCTAGGGACCTCATGGGACTCACCACACTTTACACACAGGTGAGTGCTTTAGTGGGTACCTCTTATATTTATGGGTTGACATTCTGGTTTTGTGAAAGTCTCACTACTTTACAGTTCCACCCTGTCCTTCTTATGTTTTATGTTTCTAACACATAAATACATGCACCTCAATTACTTCCCAAAAGTTGTTTGAAATAGGATTTTTTGATGTTGTTGATTAGCATAAATTTGCTTGGAGTTGGAATGCCACTTATTGAGGGAACTAGCTAGTTTCCTCTCTCTGATTTTGAGACTTCCACTTGCAAAGCTTCTCAGCACACTGGCAAATGTTATTGTGCAGGATTTTTCAATGAAGATTTGTAGTGAAAGCCAGCTGTCAGAATCTGAAACATAAGCGTTTCCCACTGCAACACTGCCCCCAATTCTTTATTTTTAAACTCTTCATACCACCAAACATGAAAATTAATCAGCAGATAAGTGCACAGTTTATTATTATATTTACTAAGTATTTATAGCTGACTTGTTTAAAAATTATTAGTACGTCGTTACCTATCTTCGGCAGTATTAACAGTAGTAATTTAAAAATGGAAATAAGAAATAAAGTAAATGCAATGCTGTTTTGAACAGTAGGTGGCGATGTATTTCCAAAGTGGGAATTAACAGATCGTTGTAACACGTCTTTCACTCTCTGAGAAACCATTTGTATAATGCTCAGAAAAGATTGCTTCTCCATTTGGGGGGAGAATGTCACTTGCAAGATAACTCAGCTCAGATGTTAGTCATTGTTCATTTTTTCTTTGCTTGTTTACATATGCTATAGCTGGACACAGAACTGCTCAGAATAATGCACCTGTTAGCTTATTTTCAAAACACACAGAAGAGGCCCAGAATGTGACTAGCTTCTGAGATAAAAATCAAGTCTCTGATCTTGCCAGGTGCCCTATTGTCTAGGTTTATTTTTAATTAGCAATTGCTTTGTTGGGTTCAAGACTTGAATAAAAGTGATTGCGAGCTTTTTAACTAAACTTCTTACCTATTTCGGAACTGTCAGCAACTTTGTCAACTATTAATGTCAGTTTACATTTCAGTCACATGTAGTATTTTCAAAGATTTTTTTCTTTTTTCAGATGATTTAAAAAATGTTTATGAAATTACTATGTTGCCTGGACTCTTAAAAACTAACAAAAATTCCTTTCTGAAATCTGTTATATAATTGGTGATGGTATTCCTAAGAGACACTATCATTGCAAAGCATGGGTTTACAATCATTATTTTTATAACCCACATTTTCAAAGAAATAAAACATCATTGATTGTTGACTCACATCATCACTAGAACATGTATTTTGGCATCACTTTCCTACATTATTTGAGTCAGAGAATTGGATGTGATGCTGAGAGCTGATAAGGGCATGCCAGCTTTCTTTTCGCTAGTCCACTAGTTCTTCTGTAGCAGAGATCCTTAGGTCACCAGCTTCTGCAGGTCCTATACTGTGTAACTGACCTTGAAAAGAGAAGCTACCTTATAACGCACCAGACAAAGCAAGTGAAGCAATAAAATGCACTTGACGCTAATGATAGATTTTTTTGTTGGTCCAGCTGTCCAACGCCAGGATGTGATGGAAGTGGCCATGTCACCGGAAACTATGCATCCCATCGCAGGTACCTCGTTTTACTACCTGGTTCTGATTTAAATACTAATTCTCCCCCATTCTAGAACGATATCTTGATCATGAATTAGAGCGTAAGTTAGTTGGTTTGTGTGTGTGTGTGTGTGTGTGGCGGGGGGGGGGGGGCGGTGGTGGTGGTGGTTTGTTTTTCATAAATAAAGCTAAGTTAAATCTTTAGTTTTTTCACTTATGTAGTATAGATATCATGATTTTGGTTAAAAATGGTTTTCTGCTCCTGTAGTCCAGGCTACAAAGTGAGAGTTTATGTCAGGGCTTTGGTTGTATCTAGTTTTAGGATTCAGGTAAAACAAAGGTAAGACAACAGAGTGACTGGGGTTGACCAGTTAGCTGTGGATGTGGCATCCCCAGTCCTGGGCATGTAACAAGTCAAGGTGTTAAAGGTGAAACTGACAAAAGGCTCTGCTTCATCTTTGCGCTCACCTTCTTCATTGATTTGCTTACCCTTTGGGTGCTGATTTGAACCTGTCAGCCACCATCCTTTGGTGATGCCGTGGGCATGGACTCCTTGTCAGTAATGATTCTATCACTGAATTCTAGAATTGCGGAGTGTCACTGGGTTAAAGCCCTTCATTTGATAAATAGCAAACCCAACTCTTATCAGAAATAATTGAGGAGTCCATGAGCCCAACCTGGCTAGAGTAACAAAGCCAGATTCAAACCTAATTATTTTTTTTCCCAATCCCCAGTCACCAGAAAATTTAAGATATTCACAGTCACAGGATGCCATTTGAGTCAGATTTGTGTATGTCAGTGTTCTGTGTTTTGTTTTTTTTTTTTCTCACCCCTTTTTAGTGTTTCTGGATGTCCTTTAGCCGATAAGACGCTTAAGTCCCTCATGGCTGCTAACTCTCAGGAGCTTAAGTAAGTGTGGAAGCGTGACCTCCGTGCCCTGTGCCCGCTGTGCTGGGACTCTGCTCACCCAGGACCAGTGTCGCTCTAACAAGCAGTGAATTGTGTCTCCGTGAATTATAACCAGCACACTCTTTCACCAAAATGTTCAAATGACTAAATCCAAATCACTTTAAGCTAATTATTTTGCTTGCTTTGGGAGTTTTGATTTTTATAATAATTTTTAAAGCAGTGATGTAATAGTATAAGAATACTTTTTTCCCCCTGTTAACTTCAGAATTTATATAATAAATCAGGCTTCTGAAGGTGTGGCAAACAATTTGCATCATCTGATTTTAAGAAAGCTGCATCATATTTTCTTTGTGGGCCTTTTGAATCATCTAACTGCCTTTCACTTTTGGGTGCTAGACACATTTGGCTCATTTTTACCTAGTTTAAAAAAATCTCAAAGTCATATTAATTTTTACTTATTGATTTTATTTTCTCCATTCATATCTTCTTTTTTAAAAAAATATATTTTTATTGATTTCAGAGAGGAAGGGAGAGGGAGAGAGAGATAGAAACATCAATTATGAGAGAATCATTGATTGGCTGCCTCCTGCACGCCCCTTACTGGGGATCAAGCTTGAAACCCGGGGAAAGCGCCCTGACTGGGAGTCGATTAGTGACCTCCTGGTTCATAGGTCAATGCTCAACCACTGAGCCACTCCGGCCAGACTCTTATCTTCTTTTATTCCAAAGTTCTCACTTGTTTATTTTCATATCTTGTTATATTACATGTAGAATAATTAAAAGTAATGATCCACCTATACCCTTTAAAAATATAATAGGGCATATATTTTAAAAGACAAAGGAATAATATTAAACAAAATTAATGAACTTTACTTGAAAATAATAATATTTTAGGAAAAATGAGTGTTATTAAGTTTAATGATAAAACACTATTTATATAAATAGTAGAACCAACATTTGGTATCTAAACCACAGGTAAAATTTCAGATATTAAATGTTCTTAATTTTTTTTAGTATTTCCATTTTCTAATTTGTTCTAAAATTTTATCTAAAAATTACAGAAAATAAGTATGTGAAAAAAGATGGAATATTAAATAGATATAACATTCAGAATTTTAGTACCAGAAAGAGTAAAGGGAACTACACAATAAACAACTTTTCTCATTTTCAAAGTGTAAACTACAATCGATTGTGTTGGTGTAGATTCTGGAAATTGTTTTATTGACTGCCACTTTTGCAGACTGAAACATAAGAATGCTAACTAAAAACTAATAAGAGATTGAAAAGAGAGAAGTGCCAGGCATACTTACTCTTATTTCATCTTACTCAGTACTTAATTATTCAATCTTATAGAATTGCTCTAAACTTCCACATTGCCATGCCTTCATAGTAATTGTCGGTTCTCTTAAGTATTTTCTCTAAACATTATTTCTAGGGAAAAAATGTTGGTAGTACATTTAAAACACGTAGGTTGACAGGTCTTATAGCAACCTCCAGTACTTAGGTCTTATACAGTCATCTAATAAGTGACAATTTTGGATCTTTTCTGTACATAGAGGAAAAAGAGACATTTCATTGACTTCTTCTTTGGAGACTCAAGAAGAACTCCAAAGCAAGGTCACTTGACACAGATTTTTCTATAATTGCAATATGCTACTAAGCCAGTAAAATATTAATAGAAAAAGACTGGCATTTAACCCTTTCCTACAAAATAGAAGACATATTATATCTGAAAATGGTTGATTAGAGATTCAATGCATAAATATGATTTCACTCATATGCAGGTTATAAAACTGAAAATAGAAAATGAACAAGACAAACAAAAATTCATAGACACAGACAACAATAAGGTGGCTACCAGAAAGAAGGGAGGGAGGGAAGGGGAGGAAGGGACAAATATATGGTGATGGGAGGAGATTTGACTTTGGGTGGTAAGCACACAATGCAATATATAGATGATGCATTATAGAATTGTACACTTGAAACCGATATAGTTTTATTAATCAAGGTCATCCCAATAAATTTAATTTAAAAAATAAGTAAAAAGTAAAAGACTCATGCAGATTTCTCTGGTTGGCTTGAAGAGATGGATGCTGATTTTATATTTCATTTGGAAAAAGCAGTTACTCCTATTTGCTGCCTCAGGATTGAATATAAAAACATTTTCATGAAAGTTCAGTGGGTTCAAGTTTAAGAAAAGGGGAGGTATTCACAGTTTCCTTTTGGGTATTATTTTTCTCAAACTTGTGTTTGGGTAGAAATCTGAACCATTGTGAGTATATAACCGAAATAATAAAGATAATTTCTTCAAGAAAATTTTAAAAATCAAGCATTTTATGTCAGTCGGTGTGTATCTATTAGTATTTGGGATTTTTAAAAAGGCAAAAGGGAGAGAAGCAGTATAAACTGTATTCAAGTGTATTTTGAAACCTAATTCTAATTAGCCTTCCAAGCAGAACTGGGTTTTTCCTCCTCTTTCACCCTCCTCATTCCAAATTTAATGGTTGATTGTCAATAATAGTTATTGGTAGATTTTCCAAAAGGCCATTTAAGTTGGACCATGAGGCCGAACAGACCAGGTGCAAATGACTTAGCTCCTTTGGCAACCATATTAATGTGCCAAGTCTCTGGAATCCGCATAGAACACTGTTGTTCATCTGAACTCCTTGGGTTGTTATGGTAGTGGAGCGTATCACAGAGAATAAATTATGCTCTAAAACAATTTGGAAAACTGTTTTTCTTAAGTGAAAGATAAGAACCTTGCATGATGTAGACAGAAGCCCAGCAGTAAGTTGTGGGTCAAATTTTAGGTTCCTTCCCAAACAAGTTTTTAAGAAAAGAAAAAAGAATGTAGGATAACTAATATAGACCATTAAGCCTAATACACAGGAGTCACATAGCTTAACAAATTTTTAAAATGGATTCTTAGCCAAAAACTAATTTTATTTAAGCAACACGGGCCCCACCAAAAGCAGCTCATTCTGTTGAGTTCTGTTTGCATGTGTCATGACCCCCCTCCCTCCACCACAGCCACGTGGCCAGCACTCTGTTCCTGTGTTTTCCAGGTGTCCGACCCCAGGTTGTGATGGTTCGGGGCATGTGACTGGAAACTATGCTTCCCACAGAAGGTAGGATTGACCCATTTCTGAGAAATGAGATCAGTGTCAGCAGCGGTGGTCATGGAGCTGACATGGTCTGGTTTTGTTCTCTGTTGGGTCCATATTTTAGTTTGTCCGGCTGCCCTCGTGCCAGGAAAGGTGGTGTCAAAATGACTGCTACGAAGGAAGAGAAAGAAGACCCTGAACTCAAGTAAGTGTGACAGCCGAGGCCGCAGCAGCAGCAGGGCCAGAAGTAGCTTGTGGGTCCAATGGGCGGGACCCTTGTTGTGGTGCCAGTGGGCGCTGATTGCATCTCATGCACAGGGATCCTTGAGGCAGCTGTCAGTGTTCGGATGTTTGAGAAAAATTTTCCATTCATAGCTGTGTTTCCACAGATGATGATACTATAAAGTTAGAAGAAGGGGACCGTACTTCTTCCAGTTGTTTTAAAGGAAAGCAGCATTCTGCAAGCCCTACAGAACAGCAAATCGGCAGCATCCCCCCCCCCCCCCCAAGCTTTAATTTTGCTTAAGGCGAACTTTTACCTAAATTAAAGTCCCTCCTCTGAGACATATGCTACCAAGGCTAGGATGACATATAAAAATATAGATGTAGGAATTAAAAAAATTTTTTAATTGATTTCAGAGAGGAAGGGAGAGGGAGAGAGAGAGATAGAAACATCAATGATGAGAGAGAATCATTGATTGGTTGCCTTCTACATGCCCCACATTGTGGATCAAGCCCGTAACCCGGGGAATGTGCCCTGACCAGGAATTGAACCATGACCTCCCGGTTCATAGGTTGATGCTCAACCACTGAGCCACACCGGCTGGGCTAGATGTAGAATTTTAAATTGCTTGCTCTACAGCATTTCTAAGTATAATATTTAGGTATTTGGACACCAAAATTCCTGTTCTATGAGCAATGTGCTATGTAATGTAGGACAAGGTAGCTAACATTTTGCACCCGTGGCCTTTGCCGGCAACAGGGCTCACCTGGTTGGTTAGGGCTAAAAAGTGGGGGTCTGAACTGGACTCCACTTCTTGTAAAATGGATGACAAGTTTCCGAAGCTTGATAAGCCTCATTTTTCCCACCTGTAAAATGGGATAATAACACTCTCTGCCCATTAGATTTGCAGTGAAGATGACAGGAAATAACACGTGAAAATTGCTTAGCCCAGAGCCCACGGGCCATTAGTACTGCCAGAACCACGTTATTTTGCTAGCTGTATTGGCATCTTTTTAAGTCTATAATCTCACCATTTGCCTTCTGGATAGTGTGGAACCGCCACTACCTTCTTGTTCACTCAGTTACTGCATGTCATGTGAGTTGTCCATTCTCTCCCAGCTGGTAACATCTCTGCTGTGTCCCTCTAGATGTCCTGTGATAGGGTGTGACGGCCAAGGTCACATATCAGGTAAATACACATCCCATCGCACAGCTTCTGGCTGTCCCCTGGCTGCCAAGAGACAGAAGGAGAATCCTCTCCATGGGGCCCCCCTCTCCTGGAAACTGAACAAACAAGAACTTCCACACTGTCCCCTGCCAGGCTGCAATGGGCTGGGCCATGTAAATAATGTTTTTGTCACCCACAGAAGGTAACCTTTATTCTCTTTTTGTTGTGTTGTTGTGATTATTTGTCACCTGGGGGGCTTTGTGGGTGGGTGGAGCCCTCCGCAGGGTCACACGTTATAGCATTTAAGATGTGATGACAATGAGTGTGGTCAGAGAGCTGACTAGTTTGAAGAATCAAACCTATTTTCCCTATTTCTGAAAATTTACTACACTGTTTACAAGTGTTCTAGAAATGGTGCCTTTGTCTTTTATATACTAAAATATTGCTTAGGCTGCTATTTTTTTTTTAATGGTTCAGTCTTTTAAGGGTTCACTTTAGTTCCAAGAGGTAATATCTACTCTATTATGTTTTGTCATTGTAAACTTTCACTTCACATATTTATGCCATTCCCTGCCTCTCGCGAACTGGCGCAATTTCAGGCCAAATTGTAGTTATTTTTCTGCTGGGAAGATGTGACTCATCCCCAGCAGCCAGAAAGAAAATAACACAGTGACTACTAAGTGTGTGACAGGATGAGAGAGATTTAGAAAACCCTTTATAGTTTCACAATGACTTCATCCTTTTGTCACCGAGTGACACGCATTTCAACAGAGTCCTTTGTGAGTACAGTGATCGCAGGCTACCTTTTGGTTCACATTCCACCTAACGGAAGATTCACTGCACATGCCCCCAATCAGCGAGGGCCCTTCTAGCCTTGCAGCCCATGCTTGGGGTGCGGGTTTCTTACCAAACAGAGCTTCAGTGAGCCCGATGCTTTGCTTCGGAGCAGAATGTGGATTGAGCAAAGCCCGGGCATTTTAACATTTCGTTCCGTTTTAAAGCCACATATCAATGGAATCAGAGAAGTGAAACCTTCCAGGAATTGCTGGTTTAAGTGGCTATGCAATGACACCTGCTTATGGAGAAAACCTGGACTTGTTCAGTCATTTATTTTTTGATGGTTTTCAAATGCCTGGTCTCTTCACCAATAGTACAAATGGTTTTATTCTGAGTTGGAATTGCCATCCCATAGTTTGAACTGACAGTGGCAAATCCAGTGTGCCTAATGTCACCATTACTGCAGAGTAGCTATACTTTCTTATCACGGACTGAGCAATAGACACGTTAACACTGATAAGGAGATGTTACTGCTATGCTATGGTGAGCACAACCTTCCGTCAGCAACAACAGTGGTAGCTTTTTAAAAAATATTATTTTTATTGATTTCAGAGAGGAAGGGAGAGGGAGAGAGAGATATATAGAAACATCAATGATGAGAGAGAATCATTGATCAGTTGCCTTCTGCACGCCCCCTCTGGGGATCGAGCCCATAACCCAGGCATGTGCCCTTGACCAGAATCGAACCTGGGACCCTTCAGTCCGCAGGCCAGCACTCTATCCACTGAGCCAAACCGGCTAGGGCAATAGAGGTAGCTTTAAAGCCATGAAGAAGCTTTAGACGATGTCACCAAGGTGAGCTGAGGACCACAGGGATTCTCATACAGCTGCAGGTGGAAGAAGAGTGGGGAAAGCCACGCCAGGAAGTGAGTTGCCTTCAGGAGTCAAGTTGAAAAAGAGCAGATGCGCAGGCCTGCTGCCCAGCCTCTGAGCTGCTGGGCTGATGCCCCAGAAGGTCTCCTGCATGGTGGAGCTCAGAGGCACGTCTGAGAATGTCTGCGATGGCATTGCTCTGCTAACTCCAAGCTGGAAGCGACCTGCCTGCCCACTGGCCGCCGAGGGCATAGGGAATCAGTGTCTGCTTACAGGGACTGCCGCGCAGTGGTGAAAACGAAGGCACAGCGCCGGGGACTTTCAGAACACAATGCCGAGTGGAAAAAAATTGCTGCTGGAGAATATGTTCAGTATGATTCTAATTACAAAGAGTTAAAAATGTGACCACATTACATTGTAAAAAGCTAGGTAACTATTCCCCCCCAATTCCAGTTAATGGTTTTCTCTGGGGAACAGGAGACAGCAATCGTGGGGGCGCTCAGGAGCTGCCGAGGTGCTAGTAAGGCACGCGCTGCGTGGGGAGGAAAACCGTGTTCATCTTAGGAGAGCTCCTTGCACTGCAGACCTATTGTGTATGTGTCTGCACACATGATGTACTTCATAATATGAAAATCAGAATGACGAGTTCAAAAAAACAACACACACAGGCTGCAAAATGAATGACCAGATAGTGTTTTTCTAGGAGAAGGAACGCGAGCAAGAATTTAGACAAATGCATAACTCAGGTCTCACCGCTCTTCACTGGAGAGCTCTCTTGTTCCTCACAAGCTCCAAGAGACGGCATTTAATTTGTGTGATTCCCTTTAATGCAGAATGCTTTTCTTCCTTACATATGTGTATATGTGCCTATTATTTTTCATATTATTTAATGGGATAATATAACAAAAATGCCCAGCTTCTTCTGGCACACCCACAGGTGTTCTATACAGACTATCTTCTTCCTCTTTTATAAAAATTACATGCATATGATACAATAATTTTTTAAAGTAAGAACGACTTAAACTGGAATAGCACATTCTGACCTACCATAGACGTTTACATGCAATGTATTCGGAACCTAAAATTCAGGACTCTTTCCAATCACCAGTGATAGCTGATAGTCACCTACTCGGGGCTCTCTGTGTTCTGGCAGAAAGCACTGTGCTAAGTTAATTCTCTCAAACCTTCACAAATCCCTGCAAGCTACAGAGGTGTTGTAATGATCTTCCATAGACAGGAAAGGACATCAGCACAGGGAGTTGCCCCTGCAGACAGCATTGGGATGCCAGCACCCTTGCATGAGCGCTGTGTCATCCATGTCCCTGTGTTTAATGAGTCCTTCCGTGTACCAGGCCATATGTGCATACAGTTTCCTCAGCCATCGTCTAAGACAAGTTTTCTAATTTTTCCCATTTTCCCATCAGGAAAATGGGGATAATTACAAAACTTGCCTTGTACAATAGTTAAACAACATTCAATCTCTGTGTTAAATCAGCATTATATTTACACTAGTGGCCCAGTGCACAAAATTTGTGCACTGCGGGGGGGGGTGTCCCTCAGCCCAGCCTGCACCTTCTCCAATCTGGGACCCCTCAGGGGGGACGTCTGACTGCCGGTTTAGGCCCGACAGCTGGACGTCCCTCTCACAATTCGGGACTGCTGGCTTCCAACCACTCACCTGCGTGCCTGATCGATGCCTAACTGCCCTCCCCTGCCACCCGGTCACCCCCAACTGCCCTCCCCTGCCAGCCATCTTGTGGCTGTGGGCACCGTCATCTTTGAGGGTGGGGCAGTCAATTAGCATATGCCCTCCTTATTGGCTGTGGGCACGGCCATCTTTGTGATGGCATGAGGGTCAATTAGCATATTCCCTCTTTATTAGATAGGATACCATTTGCTTTAAAAGCTTGCTTTAAATCTTTACATTATAAACTTCCATTTAAGAAATAGCAATCTGGCCCTGGCTGGTTTGCTCAATGGATAGAGTGTTGGCCTGCAGACCAAAGGGTCCTGGGTTCTATTATGGTACAAGGGCATGTACCTGGGTTGCAAGCTCCTCCCTGGCCTGGCCCTGATCAGGGCTCGTGCAGGAGGCAACCAGTCAATGTGTTTCTCTCACATCAATGTTTCTCTCTGTCTTTCCCCCTCTCTTCCACTCTCCCTAAGAATCAATGGAAAAATATCCTTGGGTGAGGTTTAACAACAACAACAAAAAAGAAATAATATTTAAAATCTTTTTTTTCTTGAAATATTAATGTTTATTGCATGTAACATTATACTTAAATTCATTTTTCTCAAATTAAAAAAAGAAAAAAATAGCAATCTGAAGACAAATATAATATTAAAATACAAAGACACAAACACACATGCACATGATTGTGGTTGTATGTCGCTTTTAAAACAGAATTTCTGTGACTAAGAACTCAGTGCTATGCCATAACTTTGTAATTTTATGAGGTTCATTAATCTATTAGAAACAGTGATGTCCACTACATAAATTTTATCACTTGCCATTTTATTTTAACAAGGCAGATGAAGATATGATAGTTTAAAATTGCCTTGATAGGCCTTAATAGAATTTCAAATTTGATCAAAACCATGTAAGGCACACTTTCCCAGCCATTTGCATTATGGAGCCCAAATCCTGGCAGGGACATATTCCAGCCAACCGCCACCTTTCCTCAGCCAGTGACATGGAACTGCATGGAGGACGTCCTCAAAAGAATAAGGACTTTTAAAATATTTTCCACCCCAACTTTTTTTTAAAATATATTTTATTGATTTTTTACAGAGAGGAGGGGAGAGGGATAGAGAGTTAGAAACATCGATGAGAGAGAAACATCGATTCAGCTGCCTCCTGCACACCCCCTACTGGGGATGTGCCTGCAACCAAGGCACATGCCCTTGGCCGGAATCGAACCTGGGACCCTTTAGCCCGCACGCCGACGCTCTATCCACTGAGCCAAACCGGTTAGGGCTCCACCCCAACTTTTTAAATGTAGGATCTGCTTTATATCCTGAAAGGTAGAACTGCATTGGAAGAGACAAAATATCAAGCAGCTATTTGAAATCAAAGCCCCCCTTTCACGTCTTAAATATACTCTTTGGTTCCAAGTCACGTAGTTGGGAACACTTCACGCACTTGCCACACCAGTGAGTTACAACTGGACATTTACTGCCGGGCTGGCCGAGCCACGCAGATCCTAGGGGAGACAGAGAAGGCGAATGAGCTGTTAATGTCCATTACTTCACACACGGACTCTGACAGGTCACTTTTAAAACCGAACTTAGCAACAAGATATTAGTCCTCTTCATGACCATTTTCTGAGAACAATATGTGCCACGAAACAAGAGAGATTTGTGCAAACATTCCAGAAAAACAAATAAGGAAGCTTAAGTGGGCCACACTTTACAATGAGAAACTTCTACAATAGAAAAATCGGGTGCAAATTCAGTTTGTGCTTTTTCATTATTCTCTTTTTCTGTGTAAAATATTACATAATTTATCAAATTTTGGAAAATCACATGATCCTTTTTATGTATAATATTACATACTTTTATATTTTACATAATTTTCACATACAATAATTTAGAATTCTTTAAAAATACACTCACTCAGCAAACATTTACTTTGCTTCAGAAGTCATATTTTTTCACTTGGCCAAGTGCCCTAATCTTTGGGTTGAAAATAATTATCTCATACATGGATTATAATCACATTTCTGTGGGAAAATATTTTAAATGACTGTGATCATTTTTAATTTTATTTAGAAATTGTATCTCCAAAAATACAACAAAATTACAAAAGAATTAGTCGGTGTTTAAAACAACAAAATCATCTGATTATGTACCATGGAATACAAGCTTTGTTCAATGTTATTATCCTCTTGGTGCAATTTAAATACAACAGATACATTAACGAAAGGACTGCTGAATAATGAAAATAAGGAACTGAGTATAAACACCACTATAGGACGATATGTTGCCTGGGCAATGATTGTGTCTGAGTATATTTATGGTTGTTCCTTTTATTTTCCTTTCAAGGTAGAGCTTTTTTTGAATGACAAATAAAAGTTTAAAAGTTAAAGAATAAGTTAGAAACTTTCCCATACCCAACTGCCTGGGGAAGGAGGGTTATTATTTTGTAATAATTTGAACCATTCTGTATAGGTCAGGCTATATAGTTTATACAAAGATGGAAAGAACTAGATTCTGCTCTATTATTCATGGAAGTTTGACTAATTTGGAACAATTCTTATTAATAATGTATGGACCATTTCATGTTTATAGGAAATAAAGTAACCACTACTAAAGAAAGGCACTTACATGTATGCAGAATAGAAATAATTTGATAACATTAATTAAATGGTATCAGCAGTAGCTATTTGTATTTTTATTGAAAGAATCATAAAAAACATTTTACATCTTTTCAGGGCATTTTGCTTTTATTTTTATATATATTGTTACTTTCTACAAAGGGACTGTCCGCATGTTATAATGTCATTAATAGGCAGGCAAACACTTAAATAGTAAGTAGTGAATAAAAATTTTAATTTGTATATGAAATGATATGTTTCACACATCAGCATATTCCTATTTTCACAGCTTATCTGGGTGTCCTTTAAATGCACAAGCTATCAAAAAGGGCAAGGTCTCGGAAGAACTAATGACTATCAAGCTCAAAGCAACTGGAGGTAAGAGTTCATGGCCAGGGTCACCATCTCCATGGAGGCCCAGGTAGTAGTTCCTCACAGGGTTCTGCATGCCAAATTATTCTTTATTTGGGAATTGTAATGTTAATACACACTATGGAAGCTTTTCTCACATTTGAACTAAAAGTATAATGTTTATCTCAAACATTATCATTATACTTGGTTTATTCCCTTACTTTAAAAAAAATATGTTTTTATTGATTTTAGAGAGAGAGGAAGGGAGAGGGATAGAGATAGAAAACTCGATGAGAAAGAAACATCAATCAGCTGCCTCCTGCACATCCCCTACTGGGGATCGAGCCCGAAACCTGGGCAAGTGCCCTGACCCAGAATTGAACCGGTGACCTCTTGGTTCATGGGTCAACACTCAACCACTGAGCTACACCAATCGAAAATGCCATTCCTTGAAAAGGAAGTTGACTCCAAGGAGACATAAGGAAAAAACACAATATATATAAAAGAAACATAGCAATAGAAGTTTTCATTTGCTCAAAATACTTGTTTAATTGAAAATCTATGCTCCATAAAGTTGTTGAAAACAAATATTTTAATCCCTGTTGCCTGGGAAAAGATTCCTCTACCAGCAAATCAGCCATTGAGATATGGTACTGACGATGCAATACAATTCTCCAGATGCAGCAGGCCAATGTGGAATGAGCCCTGTGTCCCAGATAGTGCCGTTAGCGAGGTCATGGTAATTGTTTAATCTTTTCTTAATGACTGCGTCATTCTGTTACTCATATTCAAGTTCATTTAGATACTAAAATACTGAGGTCTTAGTTGGTGGGTTTGCTTTTCTTCTTTATCTCAGAGCCCAGTATTAGGAATCTTATGACACACTCTCTGCATTGGTTCATGCATGGCCGATTTTGTTTAGGTAGGTAGTTATTTATAATAAAGCAATAAGTACCTAGAAAACAGCCACCTGATTTAGCATGCTGTATGTAAGTTTTCCAGGCTTATTTTTCTCTCTCGTCACATTATATTAGTAAGAGTCATCCATATTGTTTTTGGCGGGCATGTGGCTTGTTTCCAGGTCGTACCTTTGTAAACAATATGCTACGTACACTGTGTGCTCACCTCCTATCAGACATATGCAACTGTTTGTCTCTGGTGTGTACCTGCGGCTGAAATTGCTGGTTCACAGAGTATGTAAAGTTCACCTAAAGCAGATAATGAACTGTGTTCCACAGCAGTAACCCCAGGAAAGTGCAAGAGCCTGGATCTCTTTCAAACAAATTGTCAGGTCCCCAACCTGCTCTCATGAAATTGATCTTATTACATCTAAAGTGAAAGTTTACATTTATCTCTCTTAATTGCCATCTGTTTGGTTTAGATTCATCACTATGGACTGTTGAGATTACCTTAAATCCTGCTTCGGGCATCCTTACTATTAACTACCCATCCCACCTTTTAAAAACCTTTCCAATCTATTCATATTCCTTCTATAAAACAGTGATGGGAAAGTGATGCCTGTTCATTGACAGTTTACTCTGTGTTCCGCACTTTATATATATTTTTTGCATTAATTCTCACAACATAGATTTTATGCCTCTTTTACCGACAAGGAAGTGGAAGCACAAAGAAGTAAGTTTCCCAAGTTCAAGAACAAGAGTCACGGGCAAAGCACATGTTTCTTCTAGATTGCATTTGCTTGCCCTCACCCAGGCCCACATAGAGAACCCAAATTTCATGTCCCTGGACTCGCACCCACCTGCCAGCACCCGGCTCTACCTGTGTAATGGTGCATTAATTAATCAGCATAACTTGGGTCTTAATAGCCTTTACAGGGTTGTGTATGAGAGGACCCATGACCTTTGGAATTCAGTCCCACCTCTGCCTCTGACTTTGGACTTGGGCAGGTTCTATCTCCTGTCAGTGATGGCATGGCCTCACTTAGCTTAAGGCTCAACATCTGCATGTATGAGAAAGATATAATGGGACACGACTCCTAGTGCGCAGTGAAGTTGAAATGAGAAAACATTTACGAACACCAACATGTCTTGCAGCACACCTGCAGCGTAATGGGCAAATTAAATGGTGGTACTTTTATACGCCCTTCTTTTTCTTACAAAGGATTTAAATCCTTCAGCTCCTTCTACCTATTATTTTAGAATCTTGAACATGGATTTTGATACAAATTCAACATTTCAAACCACTCCAAAAACCACAAACTAAATGTAAAGTGACTGAGATTTATCACAGTCTCATAATTTCAGTGTGAAATAAGAGAGTCTGGTTCTTTGCAGGTATAGAGAGTGATGAAGAAATTAGGCATTTGGATGAAGAAATAAAGGAATTGAACGAATCCAACCTTAAAATTGAAGCAGATATGATGAAACTTCAGACGCAGGTAAAGAATCAGAAAGGTATCTTCATGGTAATCATACTCTTTAGTGGAGGCAAAACATTGAACTGCTAAACCTTGTGATGAAAAACAAACAAACAAAAAAACCCACACACTGATATCTTATAATGAATATACTAAGCATGTCTAGATTACATAATTATTGTAAATACGTGAGTAGGTGGGTCACCTGGGCCATCATTGATTTGGTAGCTGAAGGCAAAGGTATTCATGTTTCTGCTTTGGGTGCATCAAAGGCTTCATAAGCAGGTCATCCTGTAATTGTAGAGTCCTTTAGAGCACATGGTGCTTTAGAGAAATTGTACATGAGAAGATATGAGTACTTAGTTTTATTAAAAAATTCAAGTAAAACAGGGCAACTTTGCACATTCAATTTTTCTACAACACCTCTGAATGTGTCCATTTTTGTTAAAAACAGATCTTTCTGGAGATTTTCCTGCATAGCTTCTTTACCAAAAATTGCAAGCAATGTCTTTACTCTGCATGCTCCTTTGTAATGTCTGCCCCATTCCTGACAAAATTTATCCAAATGGAAATTAAAAATGTAGTCCAGGATTTTTTTTTAGCACACTAAATAATAACTCTATTGCAAAAAGTACAGTATCTTTCTCCCTTCTCTCCTCTCCTGCAATGTGGGATTTTTAGATCACTGTGGTTACTGACTCCCAGAAGTCATTGCCAGCAGTTTAAGACAGAAGGTTTAAGTCCATCTGAAACATAGGTTTGGTTTCCTGACCCAGCATAATGTGAACAATGCCATGATCTTCCATTGAATAATGATCAGTTTATAAAAGAACTCTGTTTACAACTCCTCTTATAATCATTAGCAAAGACAGCAAAGGCGTCTGCCCTCATGGAGCTTCAAGTCTAGATGGGGGAGGCCGACAATAACATAAAAAGTCATAAATAAATTGTTTGACCTGGTTGGCATGGCTCAGTGGTTGAGCATTGCCCTATGAGCCAGGAGGTCATGGCTCCATTCTTGGTCAGGGAACATGCCCGGGCTGCAGCTTGATCCCCAGTGTGGGGCATGCAGGAGGCAGCCGATCAATGATTCTCTCTCATCATTGATGTTTCTATCTCCCTCTCCCTCTCCCTTCCTCTCTGAAAGCAATAAAAAAAAAAATAAAGGAATCATTTGTATGAGAGAAGTGGGTAGGGAGAGGCAGCCAGATTTCAATATAAAACAGGAAAGCCAGGCTAGGCCTCAAGAAGAAGGAATCATTTTGGCAAAGACTTCAGCAATTGAGGGAGTTTGCCAAACAAGTACGGGGGGGAAAGTGTTTCAAAGAGTGAAAGCACTGTATAAAAACACTACCTCTACAGAAAGCACAGAGTTTTGAGAACTAGCAGGTGAGTGATGTGGGAGATCAAAGGAGATGTGTCCCGGGGTAACACATGAGTGTCCGAGGCCATTCTGAGGACTTGGTTTTTATTCTGAATGAACACAGAACATTTTGGGGTTTTGAGCCAAAAGTTAATGTGATCATATTTGACCTACATGCAATCTGCATTTTAAGAAACTTGTATTGGTAGCTGTGTTGAAGATGGATCAAAAGAATAGATTGCAGGGGGCAAAGCCACACTCAGGGCCACCGTGAGAAGGCAGTCAGTCACTCTGGTGGCTGGGCCCAGGGGACAGCAGTGAAGATGGGGGACTGTTGGCCCATTCTGGATATTTTGAAGGAGGAGCCCAGTGGATTTAAAGTGTGAGAGAAAGAGAGCCATCAGGGATAATGTGAAGGCCTGAGCAACATTCTAGTTGCTACTAATTGGGAAGGAGAAGATTATAGTATACTAGCAGCCCTGTACACGAATCCATGTGCCAGTAGCTCTCTGCGGGGACTGGCCACTCCACATCGCTGCCCAGAGGCTCTACATGGCCCAGAGGCCTATCCGCAGCCGGGCGCGGAATGCTTGCCTTGTCGCCAGGGCGACGACGCAAGAGTGTTAACCCCCTCCCCCGCCCCAACTCCCCCACCCCCCGCTGCTCCTTGCCCACTGCCCAGAAGCCCTCCGTGGCCCGGTGGAACGCTTGCCTCATTGCCACGGCGACGAAGCATCTTGTGGCTATGGCTCTGCCATCTCTGTGATGGAGTGATGGCTAATTTGCATATTACCATTTTGTTAGATAGGATGGAGCAGGCTTGGGGAAACACAGAGCTTGAGCTATCCATCATCTAGCCATGTGGAGATGTGGGGGAAGTCTGGGCTGAAGATATAAATTTGGGAATGCAATTTCAAACTTTAGAGCCGTCGATGGGGTTGCTGTTTTGTGAAGAGAAGTTACCAGGGAGGCATTCCTGGGCATTGAGGTTCAGCCAATGCATTTCCTTCCAAGAGAAACATTTTGTACTCTTTCCAAACTCCACTTCTTTTATTTTCAAGTCATTTTCATTGCAGATCACATCTATGGAGAGCAATTTAAAGACAATAGAGGCGGAGAACAAACTTATAGAACAGAATAACGAAAGCCTGCTGAAGGAGCTGGCCGGTCTAAGCCAAGCTCTCATTTCAAGCCTTGCCGACATCCAGCTCCCACAGATGGTAAGTCCAAGGCCAGGACGTGGCCGCCCCATCCCAAGGGTTTGCAGGGTCAGTGTCAGTCACCAACAGAAGCACCGAGCTTTGAGGAGACCTGCCAGCCGTCACCGAGGTATCATGCTTCATTATGCATGACTTGCAATGACCTCCTTCATTCGGATATTCATACACTTAAATTACATGAAGGCCAAGGGTTTTGGATAGTGTAGAAGTCACTTAAAGATGAAGGTTTATTTGAAAATTGTTTTATAATGTAATATGAAAGTTGGAGGCCAAAACTCTCTGGCTAAAATTATTTCTCCAAATACAAATCTTACATGGCTTACAAAATCTGAGACACAGCCATATGTGTCATCCACCCAACTTAAGAATCGTAGAAAAGAATTTAACCTGATGCTTTCTTTGTACTAAGTATGAAGGCCATACTTAAGTCATCTTCCTATAGAACAGTGGTTCTCAACCTTCTGGCCCTTTAAATACAGTTCCTCATGTTGTGACCCAACCATAAAATTATTTTCGTTGCTACTTCATAACTGTAATGTTGCTACTGTTATGAATCATAATGTAAATATCTAATATGCAGGATGGTCTTAGGCAACCCCTGTGAAAGGGTCGTTGGACTGCCAAAGGGGTCGCGACCCACAGGTTGAGAACCGCTGCTATAGAAAAAAAGCACAAAAGTGATATTTCCCAAATCTAAACACATATTTGAAGCATGGAAACTATTTAAAATTTATAGAAAATTAGTTTCCTTTACATTTTCATAAACATTTGAAAGGGGGGCTGCATTGTTGAATGCTTTGAATTTCCTCACTGTGTCCATTTTTAGAACAAGTTTTCTAATGCTACAAATTTTATATATAGAATGTTTTAAAAAACAGCAATTTAATAAAGAAATCTGATTGATTTTCTGAAAAACAATTAAGTCCCTCAATTTACCCAACTTTCCAGCATGGAGCCCTCATTTTAACCAATTCCAAATCTGTCTCTTGACAATTAAAAAACAAATCAATAATGTAAGACTATAAAACACAAAGAAAAATAAATGATTACTTTGTGGTCAGTATTGAGGTAATTATTGAACATGTTTTAATATTATTTATTAATGTTTGTTTAACTCATACTTCCAACATATTCCTTAATATTTTTTCCTTACCAGTGCCACTAAAATAATCATTACCATACAAGATAACTTGTACTTTGTATAGTTACCATATAAGGTACTCTAGTGGTAAGTTTTAGGGTTAATCACACTAAATTGTCACAAAAGCACTAAAGACGTTCTCATTCGGTAGTTGAGGAAGTAGAGACTCGGAAAATTTACAGGATTTGATCAAGGTCCCACTGCTAGCATGAGTCGGGCGGGCCTGGCTTCCGTGTGGGCTTTGTTCACTCTGTCACCTGGGTCCTTGTTCAGTTCTGTGGCTCCAAGAAGCATGTGACACCACAAATGCAGAAGCTAAAAGGGAACAGAAAACCACGGTTAAGACAACACTAATAATTTAGATCAGTACTTTGCTGAGCAAAAACAAAATAATCTTCAAGTATAGGAAGCTCACCTTCTAAATGGCAACAACAATATTCTTTATACCTAAAGTATTTAGACCTTGTAAAAGTCTTCTCTTCTAATCATCTTGTGAAGTAAGCAGGGCATATGCATTTTTAAAAAGATGGGGAAGGGGGGGGGCACCAAAGAATGATTGGGTAGTAGTGCTTTCTGTCATTTATTTCCTTGCACACAGCGTGCAACTTCTACACGTCAAGTGTCTGTTCTCTCTGAAGCACCGCATTAGGCCACGGAGATCCCGAAACACACAAACATATGAGATGAGCAGGCCCTGACTTTGTGGACCTCACATTCGACCTGGAAAGACGGGGAGAGAAATAAAGCACATTACAATGAGGCTGCAAGGGGGTGGGTGGGGGGATGCACAAAGAGGTGTCTGAGAATGAAAGAAGAACCTTTTCCACCAGACACCTGGTTAGGGACAGCTTGCGCAAATCTCAGATTCCTTTCATCCAGCCCAGTGCTGTCAAAGGAAACATCTGGTTCAAACAAGCCTTTCTCCCCAGCCTGGCTGACATTCCCCTCCCACACACAGGAGGTCTGCTTTGTGCTGAGCCCAAGCAGTGGAGGCTGAGACTGCATCCCAAGGTAGGGCAGCTTTGAGGGCCCACCTCAGCAGCCAGACAGCTACCTTAGACAGCTCCACACGGACCTCAAAAACACTGTCCGATCGCACTAATCCCATAAATTGAGGAAAGAATGAGCAGATGAATCCCAATGCGCACCTCCTCTCTCTCCATCTCCCCAAACTCCAGCAGCCCCAGGCATCCTTACCTTCCTTCCCAGACTCAGAGTCCCCTGATAGGCTTCCGTGCCCTTTGGTCCTCCTTTTGCCTCAGCCTGAATCCCTGTGATTGGTTCCATGTGTTTTGTCTCCATTCAGGGGCCTATCAGTGAGCAGAATTTCGAAGCATATGTAAATACACTCACAGACATGTACAGCAACCTGGAACGGGACTATTCCCCAGAATGCAAAGCTCTGCTAGAAAGTATCAAGCAGGCAGTGAAGGGCATCCACGTGTAGGAGCGCCTCGCGGTGGGCACCAGACATCACCAACAGCAGTCACACCAGTGAACCGGGCGCCTGCGCTGCCGAGGCAAGCAGGCTGCCGCACTGCATTTACCATTGCAACATTGCACTAATTTCCTCCCCAGCTGACATAAAAAGGAAAGGAATAATAAAAAAAAAACTATAATAGACTCTATGGATTAAAAGCGATGCTGTCAAATATTAGATGGTATTTATTTTCATATGTTTTTCTTTTATTTCCTCATTGCACTCTTTTGAATTTTTTTCTTTGTAAAGTATATGTAAAGTAATGCGACATTTTAATATTTTATTCATTTCTAATCAAAGAGTTTTTTATCTTTTACCTGCATTTTGAAGTCTGCCATATTTTTTACAAGTGTGTTTCTTTTCCAATAGAATTTAAATAGAAATGCTAGTCTCAAATCACATATCTTGCTGGGCTTAAATGAGAAAACAAACCAACAAAAACAAACAAACAAACAAAAAAGTCTGAAGGAAATCTTTGTCTAAGGACTGCACTTTGTTTGCTCCCCTTTGATTTTTATTGCACTCTTTCCCCCTCTTTCACGGGCTTTCGCATTTATAAGTGGGCTTGTCCTAAGGTGAGACGCATGGAAGGAGGAAGATAAATGGCGCCCACTAGTGGGCAATGCGCTCTCACAGAAGCACAGGTACTGAAAAAGCCTGTTCAGAATTTGTTAGCAATAATTAAATCTAGAAATCAGCAAATTACTCGACTTGGCTGTACGGTTTCGGTAAACATGAATTATTTATTTGAAATGTTTTAAAGAAACGTAAGCTTTTTTTAGTGGTGCAGATTTGTCTGTTTGTTTTTCAAGTCATATCAGATAGTTGGCAACTCTTATCCCAAGACGAGAAATAAGACTTGATGTGACCAGCCAGGCTTCCCTGCCATATGCTGGTACAATATACAAGTGACAATATTGATGTAGATTTGTACTCAGCAAATACAAACACATCCAAATGGAAAATTTTGTAGATACCATATCCCCTGAAATAGCATTTATCTTGCTTGGTTGACTGAAAGGAATGGAAAACTATAGTAACACATGGAAAACTGTTACTCCGATCTGAGTCATTACTTTAGGCAACGATAAAACTTTCAATTTGATCGATATCTTTCTGTAGAACTACAAGTGCTACAGAGTAAACACACTCAGCACACAGGCACACACCCACATATACACACTCACATACACTCAGACACACATAAAATTGAGCCCGAAATCTTGAATTTCTGCATAGATCAGAGTTTAGTAGTTGCTATAGTAAAGGCAATGTCTATTTCAGGGATTGTAAAGTAGTTAAGCATTGTTTCAAAAGTTTTTTTATATTTATTTTTTTTAAGAAAAGGTATAGACAACCAGCTAAACTGCCTTTTTGGTGTGCACACACACCTCGTGTGCAATGTGCCTCCGTGCAAATGGACACTTGAACTTAGTGTGGGCTTAGTTTTCTGTTCTATAACAAAAGTGTTTATTTTCTATTAGCCTCATGGATATGTAGATTGAATGTGATGGCACTCACAGGCTTGATATATTCCACTGTTATTACTGTTACCTGCACAAATGAAGAGTAATAGCAACAGTAATTCCACTTCCATGCCACTGTGGTCATTGTTATGTATTAAATGGGGCTTATCTTTGGTTTGGGGTTCATTTGAACTCTTGAATTTAGTTTAGTGAAAATGAGATGTCTGTTCTTAGGTAGGAATGGTGTTTATTTAAAAATCAATTTATAAAGAAAAAGAGCTACCATATGTGCTGTCTATTATAAATGAGACACCAAACAAAATTTTCTATTAAAGTTATGTTCTTGCAAACAGTTTGCTCTAGAGTACTTGATAGATGCATACAAATGAGTTCACTTATTACAAAGACAAACCTTAATTTGCTAAATATTTTAACAACTTTGTTATATATTTTATTTAATTTAAAAGAAATTTCTTACCAGCCTATGTATTTATTACTATAATTTACTATGACTTCGGGTTAATAATATATTTGTGTTTGCATAGTTTGAGCAGTATGTTTTATGAAGTATATTTGTATTTATTTGCCTCCTTTGTACTTGACGTGTTTTGTAATTTGCACTGAATTATTTTCCTTTCAACTATGTTGGTCGATACTGTAAATTGGGTCTTTTGTAAACAACAAAAGGACAATAATGTATGCATTTTTTTTAATTTCAAGTAGTTTGTATACTGTTTCTTCAAACAATTAATATTTCTTACATCAAAGCAACAAAATTGTGTTCAGTGCTGTACATTTGGTGTATGGTAGGAAATAAAAATTGATAATGAGTTTTGCTGTGATCTTTCTCAAGCGGCCATGTAGAGCAAGCATGTCAAACTCAAAGGCTAACACGGGCCAGGTAAACGAGGCATGCGGCCCACGGGCCACGAGCTTGATATGCTTGACGTAGAGACTATTATCACCATCACATGGAAAGCATGGAGCTCGGCTGCGGTAAAGTACCTGAGTCCTCCCGTGGTTCGGATGTATTTTGGTTCTGTCAACCCATCTGCTTGGTTTGTTTTTGCACCACAGGTAGGAAGGAGTTTTGCCCATTGACAAGTCGTCACAGCCTTTGGTTCAGTACACACTACGGAAAAGTGGGCGCCTTTGATGTAAGAAACACCTTTGCTAGCACTAGCAGGAAATGTACCTGGATCTAGTGAGCAAAAGAGTATAGGCCTCACCCTCCTGATTCTAAAACTGTTGTGGGCATATCTGCATATTCATACAAGTTTGTTGAACTCAAGTTAAAGAAAACTAGTTGTCAATTCTTTTTTTAAAGTATTTTTTGTTTGTTTGTTTGTTTTTTATTGATTTCGGAGACAGGAAGGGAGAGGGAGAGAGAGAGAAAGATAGCAACATAATGATGAGAGGGAATCATTGATCGGCTGCCTCCTGCACATTCCCTTTTGGGGACTGAGCCTGCAAACCCAGCATGTGACTGGCTGGGAATCCAACTGTGACCTCCTGGTTCATAGGTTGACGCTCAACCACTGAGCAACAGTGGCTGGGCTAATTATTAATTCTTGACAGCAACTCCTTTAATTATATGTTTTTCTCATCTAATATCAGCTTAATTTAATTTTCCAGTTTCTGAAATAAGTCAGACAGAAAGGTCAAGAACCATATAATTTCACTCGCATATGGGATATAAAGCACAAAGCAAAAAATGAACAAACAAAACATGAAATCATGGATACAGATGAAAGAATGGTGGTTACTGCCGTAACCGGTTTGGCTCAGTGGATAGAGCATTGGCCTATGGACTCAAGGGTCCCAGGTTCGATTCCAGTCAAGGGCATGTACCTTGGTTGCGGGCACATCCCCAGTAGGGGGTGTGCAGTAGGCAGCTGATCCATGTTTCTCTCTCATTGATGTTTCTCTCTATCCCTCTTCCTTTCTCTCTGTAAAAAATCAATAAAATACATTTCTTAAAAAAGAAAAAGAATGGTAGTTACCTGAGGGCAAGAGGGTTTGGGGGTGGATGGAGAGGGTAAAGGGACGTCAAATTCATGGTGACAGAAGGAGACTAGACTTCAGGGGGTGAGGACACAATCGAGTATGCAGATGTCACAAAGTTGTACACGTGAAATTTGTATAATGTTATTAGCTAATGTAACCCCATTACATTTAACTTAAAAAGTCCCATTTTTGCTCAGATTTAGACATCTCTCGGATTGGATGCCATTTATACTCAATGTGGTAAAACCCATGTAATCCATGTATTGAAGCAAAATTGGCTAAAGGGAAGCCTGGGTCCCCAGAGGAAAGCAGGGTACTTGGCTAGACCTTTATGTAACAGGTTGGCACATGCACAATAGAGCTTGCTCTTCGTCACCAAATCATAAGGTGCAAATCTGCTCAGCCAGCTTCTTAGCTTACTCTTTGCAAAATATGTGTATCTTGCCCTGACTGGGATTTTACATCAATGAGTAGTGTCTGTGTTCTTGTCACCCAACCTGTCTGAACAGTACCAGTTCTATTGGAAATAAGACAGTGATGAGTGAGTATCATGCATTCGTACAACAGAAGTTTGATTAGAAGGTATTTATGTCAGGTCTGCTTCCTGATGACCATGTAAGTTCAGCCTAGGGGTGACGATGAAATGAGTGGTAAGATTATGACTGAGGTACACACAGGCTCCTGTGGAAACAGTATAGAGCAGTGATGGCGAACCTATGACACGCGTGTCAGAGGTGACACACGAACTCATTTTTTTGGTTGATTTTTCTTTGTTAAATGGCATTTAAATATATAAAATAAATACACTTGATCTTAGCCAAAAGGCCGAGAAGCGATTAAATATATAAAATAAATATCAAAAATATAAGTCTTTGTTTTACTATGGTTTGCAAATATCAAAAAATTTCTATATGTGACATGGCACCAAAGTTAAGTTAGGGTTTTTCAAAATGCTGACACGCTGAGCTCAAAAGGTTCGCCATCACTGGTGTAGAGGGTTATATAAATAACTCTGATTTCCTGGGGAAAGTGCTGGTTACGGATGAGCTTGGCATGTTTGAGGAAAGGCATTGCAGGTAACAGGAACGTCATGGTGATGAGACAAATGCAAGCAGCTTAAGGTAATAAAAATACAAAAAAATAATGAGAAGCATAAAGCCCAGGTAAGTGGGAAAACAAGTTATATTCTGAACAGCCATGTTAAAGAGTTTTAATTTCCATAAGCAGACCTTGGAATGCCAAAGAAAGATTTAAAACCAGAATGATGGGATCTGATTTCCATGAAAGATAATGTATCCTAGCACAGTGGTCAGCGAACCGTGACTCGCGAGCCACATGCGGCTCTTTGGCCCCTTGAGTGTGGCTCTTCCACAAAATACCATGTGCGGGCGCGCATGTACAGTGCGATTAAAACTTCGTGGCCCATGTGCAGAAGTCGGTTTTCGGAAAGGAGATAGACGAAACAAGTATACAAGACGAGTGTGGATGGGAGAGTTGGAAGGGGTCGACCTCAGCAAATGTACCTCAATCAGATTGAGGACGTTTTTAGCAAAGGCCAGTTTAGGAGTACCCTAATTAAGTTAATAATAATGTACCTACCTATATAGTTTAAGTTTAAAAAATTTGGCTCTCAAAAGAAATTTTAATCGTTGTACTGTTGATATTTGGCTCTGTTGACTAATGAGTTTGCCGACCACTGTCTTAGCAGTTCAAACAATGAATATTTCTTTCTTACGCTAAAGCAACAAAAGTGTATTCAGTGATGTGCTTTTGCTATATGGTAGGAAATAAAAGTTGATGATGAGTTTTGCTGTGATCATTTTCAGGCTACTGCATAGAAACTATTGTCACCCTCCCAAGCAAAGTGTTGGAGCCTTTAGACACAAAACTAAAATACTTCTACTTGAGCCAGCTGTCTGGTTGAAAAGAAGGGGTGAATGATTTTTGATTTGTCTCATTAGAAAAAGTTTTAAAATGAATTTGTTCTGGTACCTCAATATTTTATCAATATGCATAAAGCTAATGTTCTCTGTGTCTGTACACATGATGCCCATTTTATTGTGGCCTGGGAATAGGACCCTGCTATTTCCTCACATTATTCAGCAGGTAATTCTATAGTAAGCAGATTTAACTGGCTAATAACTGTCTATACTGTTAGACACAATCAATGATGTCTTGAATACTTTATCTCATGAAATCCTCGAACAAATTTAGGGAGCAAATGCCACCATGCCCAATTACACCAATGAGGAAACTGGTGCTCAGAAAAGTCAGTAACTGGCCCAAGACTATAACACTCAGATGCAGAGAACAAACTGACGGTTGCCAAAAAGGAGGGGAGATGAGGGCTGGGTGAAAACAGATAAAGGGATTGAAAAGTACAAACTGGTAGTTACGGTGCAGTCATGGGGATGTGAAGTACAGTAGAGGGAATATAGTCAATAATATTGTAATAACTATGTGTGGTACCAGGTGGGTACTTGAAATATCGTGGGGACCACTTTGTACATATATGATTGTCTAATCACCGTGCATACACCCGAAACCAGTACAAAATAATATTGAATATAATTGAAATTTTAAAAAGGACTAGGAAAAGGTATAGAGTTGACATCTTTTCACTATTTTTAAGGTATAATCCATGGAGATCTGTCAGAAAGAAAGAAAACCCGGAAGAAAGCAGAAATTAATTAAGATTCAGATACAGACGAGGGCCCAGACATATCCAATATTCTTAAATCCTAACACAATAATAGTGCCTGGCTGCCACTCCTGAGTACCTCATCGTGCCCCTTGAGCCCCCGAATTCGTTCTCATAAGCTTGACTGACACACCAAAATGTATTAGGATCAGCCTTATACTGACAGGAACCTGAGACTTAGAGAGAATTAAGAATTTGCTTGAGCTTCAGAATTAAGTACCAGGGTCAGGATTCAACCTAGTTCTGACCCGGAGTGGAGCTCCTGTCCCTGCTGCAAGCCATCGGTGCTGTCTCTGGCCAACCCCTAACCTGCTAACCATCCTCCTAACCTGCCTCAAGCCATAGTCACTGGGCAAGTGGCAGTCAGTTTAATCCCACTCCAGACAAAGCTGTTTAAAGAAGCAAAATTTCACGTTTAAACCACACTATTATGATATATTTCTCTTGTAAAAGCATATCATAAAAAATGTGACACCTTAACAATTTATTTGACAAATTGGGATTGAAAATCTTAATATGGTTGTAATAGCCAAAAAGTCAGAAAAATGTAAACAACACATTTTTTTGTTGCTTCTAGAGCAAAACAACACAATTATTGTGTTCTGTCATGAGCTGCGGTTTTGGATTGGCCTCCAATAAATAAAAGGACACTTTGTACTGACCTTTATCAGCCATTAAATACTTAAAAACATAAGAGAACATAAAGTTCCCTGCTCTTAAGAGACAGCTGCTGTTTTAGACTTTTCCACTTAAATATGTATTCTTTCCTGTAAATATAGCCATTTTCCTTCTGTGATGATTACCTGATGCAGTCTGAAATGCAACCCAGGATTAGATGGGTGGGCCCGATATTTTGAACTAAGAATGGCTCTTTGGGGATATGACACCCTGATAATGTTTAAAAGGATCAAACTTTTAACCACTGGAAATGTTTGTAAATACTTATCCCCAATGCTAGTGTACTTGAGAGAACTCTCCAGTATTGTGCCTCATCAAAACCCTGAGGACCACCCGGCTGGTGTGGCTCAGTGGCTGAGTGTTGACTATGAACCTGGAGGTCTTGGTTCGATTTCTGGTCAGGGCACACGCCCGGGTTGTGGGCTCAATCCCAAGTAGGGGCCA